CTCTTAGACTATATATATTAGAAGTGTATATAATGGTGATTCTATTGATATCGATTTGTAGATTTAAACTAACCATATAAATGTATGAAATAATATACATTTATTTTCTGCTGCTGAAAATGTATAAACTAATTAAAGTCTCTTTTGAATGAAGAAGAAGACCCTTTGCGTTTAGGACCGGGAAGATCACGAGCTCGCAGGGCTAAAGCGTCACGTTTGAGGGATGCGCAGTCTGCCCTAGAGGAAGGAGAGATCCCACCAGCTGTTGCCTTTCCTGATGGGGCAACTGCTGCTAAAGGCTGTGTTGAGGAGCCGCTTGTGCTTAGGCCTCCTGAATCCACAAGGAGTATCCTAACACATAAGAGAAGCAAATCAACTAAGGTTTATATTCCTAAAATCAAGAACACTGCTGGCTCGGTGGGCGATAATCTCCTCCACCAGGTGGAGGCTGGAAATCATGGACAATCACTTTCGCTTCCCGTCATGGAACCTGATCCTCCGGAGGTCTTGCTTACTCGCGGTGACATAGATGGTGCAAAGAGCAATGACGAAGCTCCTTTCTTTTTGGTTAAATCCCGAAAGAGTGGCCGTAAGGTCACAAAAACTGCTTAACTCTATATAAGATGAGTTTTTTTGTGTGGAATGTACGCGGGCTAAATAGTGACAGACGCCACAACATGACTAAAGGCTGGATTAACATCCATAGGCCTCTTTTTGGCGCGTTTTGCGAAACGCATGTTCAACGAATAAATGCTAGCAGATTATTAAGAGCGGTGCCAGCTGGTTGGATGTTTTTTGGGAATTTTGATCACCATCAAACAGCTAGGGTGGTGGTAGTTTGGGACCCTAGTGTTACCGTGTTTATCTATAAGGCCTCTGCTCAAGCGGTTACGTGCGGAGTATTCATCCCTGCTGAAGGCGTAAACTTGACGGTAACCTTTGTATATGCCTTCAATCAACTAGAAGCCAGGCTTCCTCTTTGGGAGGAGATTAAAGAGATTAATGTCTGCACCCCTGCAAGCAGATACCCGTGGTCGGTGGCAGGAGACTTTAACCAGATAATGAGGGTTTCTCAGAACTCGAACTTGCTCTCAGAGGATGTCGACACAGCTGGAATTGAAGACTTCAACCTGGCGCTTCAGGATGCTGACTTGTTTGAGGTCCAGTCAAAGGGTTTAACTTACACCTGGTGGAATAGCAGAGAAGCTGATGTGGTATCTAAAAAGATTGATCATGCTTTCATCAATCAAGAGTGGTCGGCTTGTTTTCCTGACTCTTATGCAGAATTTCTAGAGCCAGACCAATCGGATCATGCACCATGTCTTTTCCACATCCCCTCGGTCAAGAGGAACTTTCGGAAGCCCTTCAAGTTCTATAACCATATTATCGATCATCCATCTTACTTGAGTTCTGTCCAGGATGCTTGGAAATTGGAGGACATTGTAGGGAGTAATCAGTTCAAATTGGTCAGAGCACTTCGGGGTTTGAAACCTGTGTTAAGGAAACTGAACAAAAACCACTTTAGTGGGATATCTGCGAGGGTCAAGGAGCAAGCGCAGAAGATGGCAGTGTTACAACAAGCTCTCCTAACCTCCCCTGATCCTTCTATTGCCCGAGAAGAACACTTGGCTAGGGAGAAATGGCAATCCTTGATCTCTGCAGAGGAGAAGTTCTTTAAAAAAAGATCCTGTGTTAAATGGTTGCAGCTCGGCGACCGCAACACTAGTTTCTTTCATCGGTCAGTCTCCCAGCGCCTTACCCGGAATCATATACATTTCTTAAATGATGGGAATGACAGGATTCTCTCTTCTTTTGAGGATCTCAAATCTCACACGGCGCAATATTTCCAGAATATCCTCGGCCAGACTGAATTGCCTTTGTCTTTGATTTCGGTCACTCAGCTCCAAGCGCTCATGCCATTTAGGTGTTCGGTTGCGCAAGCGTCGGATTTGGAAAGGCCTGTTACCAAAGAAGAAGTCCTCAGTACAGTGTTCTCTATGCCTAAAAGCAAGAGCCCCGGCCCCGATGGTTTTCCTATCGAGTTCTTCCATGCTTCTTGGGAAATTGTTGGTGACGATGTGGTTGCTGCCATTCAAGAGTTTTTCAGAAATGGTCGCCTCTTGAAGGATCTGAATACGACAATCATTGCTCTGATCCCCAAGACGTCCGGTGCGTGCAAGCTTGGTGATTTTCGGCCCATCAGTTGTTGCAATACTATCTACAAGGTGATCGCAAAGATCATCGCAAATAGGCTGAAACCGGTGCTTCAGGAGTGTATCAGCCCAAATCAGGCTGCTTTCCTGAAAGGCAGAAGCCTTGGTGAAAACGTTTTGCAAGCCTCGGAACTTATCAGGCATTACGAAAAAAGCTCTTGCCAACCAAGCTGTATGCTCAAGGTTGACATCAGAAAAGCTTTTGATACGGTCAATTGGGACTTCACATTAAAGTTGCTGGAAGCTCAGGTTTTTCCTCCCATGTTCCGAACTTGGTTGCAAGAAAGCATTTCCACTCCTCGATTCTCGGTCGCCATGAATGGCGAGCTCGCGGGCTTCTTCGCGGGTAAGAAAGGACTCAGGCAAGGTGATTGCATCTCTCCCTATCTGTTTATAATGGTTATGGAGGCCCTCTCCAAGCTTCTTGAGAATGCGGTGGATAACAGCTTGATAAGGCTTCACCCTCAATGCGAAAACCCGTGTATCACCCATTTACTCTTCGCCGACGACTTGTTGATCTTTTCGGATGGATTTAGGCACTCTCTTACAGGCATCAAGGAGGTGATGAACGAGTTTAAGGTCATATCTGGGCTTGATATGAATGTGCAGAAAACTGAGATATTCTTTAGTGGCTATTCCGAGATTGAATCTGCAGTGCTTAGTGGAATCTCTGGCTTTTCTTTGGGAGTGTTTCCGACCAGATATCTTGGTCTCCTTCTGAATCCTCGCAGGATCTCGCTCACCACTTTGCAGCCGTTTTTGGAATGCATAACAGGGAAGCTGCACAGTTGGACAGTCAAACTTCTCTCATTTGCCGGGAAGATAAGACTCATTAGCTCCGTTGTGTATGGCATGGTTAATTTCTGGAGTTCAGTCTTCGTCCTGCCTAAAAGCTTTTACACCAAAGTGGATTCTCTGTGTGCGGCGTTTTTATGGAAGAACAAGCTTGGCTCGGCTTCAGGTGCTCGCGTCTCCTGGAGAGACTTATGTCGGCCTAAAGAGGAAGGCGGGCTAGGGATTCGCTTGCTGGAGGATTTCCAAATGGTCTTCAGACTCAAGCAGGTGTGGAATTTCTTTTCGAACTCGGGATCTCTATGGGTTGCCTGGTTGCGTAAGCATATATTTGGCAGGAAGAGTTTTTGGATTACAGAGGATGCTGGACGATTCTCTAGAGCTGTGCGCGGTATGCTCCAGGTGAAGCACCATCTAGCTGATTTCTTGCGATGTGAAATTGGTAATGGTGAAGAAGCATCGTTTTGGTTCGACTCCTGGACCGAGTTAGGTCCTCTGATCTCCTTACTTGGTAACCATGGGCCGCGTAACCTGAGGATCCATATTGACGCTAAGGTCCGTATGGCTTTTTCACGGGGTGGTTGGAGGCTTCCTCCGGCTCGTTCAGACGAGACCCAATTGCTTCATGTTACTCTTGCTGTGTTGGATCCCCCGGACAATTCACGCGGTAATGATACTTATCTCTGGAGAAACCAAGCAGGCAACCATGTGCCGTCATTCTCCTCCCGAGCAACTTGAAATTTTCTGAGGGTTCACAGCCCAACGGTCTCCTGGCATAAGCTCGTTTGGTTCTGGGAAGAGATCCTGAGATGTTCATTCATATTGTGGTTAATCATGCAGCATCGGCTCCCCACGAAAGACAGGCTTATTAATTGGGGTCTCTCCGTCTCTGGTCAGTGTGTTCTTTGTAACTCGCGGGCCGAATCTCATGAGCATTTGTTTTTCTCTTGCCCGTTTGCTTCGGAAATTTGGACCCCATTCAAGGGATCGGCCTGGCCGAACCTCCCTCTCTCCATCTTTGCATTGTCGACGTGGTTCCTCAGTGATAGCAACAACCTCTTATCGCGTCTCAACACCATCTTCAAGCTTCAATGTCAAGTCATCTCTTATCAGATTTGGAAGGAACGAAATGCGAGGATCTTCAGGGCATCTTCTTCGTCGCCTTTAGTCATCCGGCGTGCGGTGGATAGGGCTATCCGGGATCGTTTGCTCAGCTTCCCTGCTCAATCTCACTCTACTCCTTCCCTGCTTGAGTTATATTTTCAGAATTTAGGTTTCTTGAGCTAATAGATCGGGTCTTTTTGTATCTTTGCTATTGTATGTAGTCGCTTGCGACAAACTATGTAATCGTTCTGTTGGTACAAAATCTTAACCTTTTACCAAAAAAAAAAAAGAAAACCCTTTAAAGTAATGCACTAATGATCTTGACCAAAAATATCATTTGTACAACTTTAATAAGCTTTAGTAGTATTAAACACCACCTTCTAGTCGTCTTAATTATACCTTTTGAAATCCGTTGTTTTGTACATAGAAGATATTTAGGTTTATGATGATTGTACTTTTGGAGAGCTCAGGTTTTTGTTAAGACATCTTAACAACTTGGGATAGATTAACTAACTAATCCACCTTAATTGTGTCTTAGCTTTTTACCCTATTTGTTAGGTATCTCTATCACCAACAGATTTGGATTTCTCTCTCTGTCAGATAGATGACAGAGGAAAAAATGATGAAGGTGACAAAGCTAAATATGTCTTTTTCACTTTATCTTTGTTTTTTTTTTTTTGCTAACACAAGAAAAAGAAGAAAAAAAAGATTTTTACCCAATTTTGGTCCCACAATTCTCTCTGTTGCTGTTTTTGCGGTTGTGTTTTGCAGCTTCCCTTACCTCTCTTTCAGAAGAAGACTCAAACGAAAAAAAAAAAGTTCCTTTTTTCTTTTAATAATTTTGTCATGTGATTCATTAATATTTTTTTTCTTCTATCTTTCCCTCCTCTTTCTTTTTCATCTTTGTTCTTGTTCTTTGTCTGCAATCCCATTTCATCTTTTTGGTCTAATGAGGGGTTGATTCCCCTGATATTAGACCCGTTTCCGAATCAGGAAACAATTATCTCTAAAAATGGGTTGCATCAGCTCCAAGAACGTCTCATGTTTAACGGACCAGAGTGTCTCACCGGTCCAAGAAAACGTCCCGGAACCCAAATTCTCCACGAACCAGCAACATCGAGCTTTTGTTGATCATTCATTGGAGACGAGTCACAATAGCAGACGGTCAAGGAGATCAAAGAGGTTAGGCGCCGGTTCTGATTTAAGGATTGGTGTGAGCCTCATTTCCGGGTTATCTCATAGGAACGTAGAGGCTGAGCAAGCGGCTGCTGGCTGGCCTGCTTGGCTATGTTCGGCTGCGTCTGAGGCTGTCCATGGTTGGGTTCCTTTAAAGGCAGAGGCGTTCCAAAAGTTGGAGAAGGTAAAACATATGGTTTCTTGTGAAGGAAAGTAACCACAAAAACCATTTTATATATAGAAATGGATTGATGAAATTTTGTTGGTCTGTATTAGATTGGACAAGGAACATATAGTAGCGTGTTTCGAGCACGGGAAGTAGAAACTGGGAAAATGGTGGCATTGAAGAAGGTAAAATTTGATAATCTTCAACCAGAGAGCATTAGGTTTATGGCAAGAGAGATTTTGATTCTACGGAAACTCAACCATCCAAACATCATGAAACTTGAGGGTATAGTAACGTCTCGTGCTTCAAGCAGCATTTATCTTGTTTTCGAGTATATGGAACACGATCTTGCGGGTTTATCTTCGAATCCCGACATCAGATTCACTGAGGCACAGGTACAAAACCGGTAATTTTTGTAGAAAAATTAAATCAAGGTTTGTGTCCATTTTTTTCCTCTGACATTGGCTTGAGTTTTTGAGATTCTTTCTTTTTGATTCTTGTATACAAGGTCAAATGTTACATGCAGCAACTACTTTGGGGACTAGAGCATTGTCATATGCGAGGCGTAATGCATAGAGACATTAAGGCATCAAACATTTTGGTCAATAACAAAGGAGTTTTGAAGCTTGGAGACTTTGGTCTAGCAAATATGGTCACAGCTAAGAACAGAAACCAATTGACAAGCCGTGTGGTGACTTTATGGTATCGAGCTCCTGAGCTTCTTATGGGATCCACTAGTTATGGAGTATCAATTGATTTATGGAGTGTGGGATGTGTTTTTGCTGAGATTCTCATGGGAAAACCAATCCTGAAAGGCAGAACCGAGGTAAAAGAACCGTCTTAGGATTAGTTGTATTTTGCTAATGAACTCTTACATAACTTGTATCTTGATGTCTTCTCTTTTAATTTTATTCTTGGTTTTACAGATTGAACAATTGCATAAGATCTACAAGCTTAGTGGATCACCACCGGATAGTTTCTGGAAAAGAAATAAGATAACTCACGCAACTTCCTTCAGGCCTCAACATACTTATGAAGCCACTCTCAGAGAACGATGCAATGAGTTATCAACAACTGGTGTTTTTCTATTAGAAACTTTACTTTCAATGGAACCTGAGAAACGTGGGACTGCTTCATCTGCGCTTAATTCCGAGGTGAAGGAAGATTTCCATTTCTCCCATTGATCCATTTCTTTCACCTCTTTTTCTTCTGACTTCTTTCACCTCTTAGTATTTCTTGACGAGGCCTTATGCGTGTGATCCTTCTTCATTGCCTAAATATCCACCAAACAAAGAAATGGATGCTAAACATCGTGAAGGTCTTCGCAGGTCAGGATTCTTCTCTTTACTTGTATCCATTTTGTATGTTTCAAGCTAAAATCTTGAAGTTTCTTCCATCCCCCTAGTTCCTCTTCATCCCTTGAATTTTCGCATATATATGAGTACTTAGGTTTTTATATTTCGGGTCGGGTCAATGATAATGGAAAGAGTGTCTAAAATGCTTTTTCAGGAAAAGAGCAAACATCAAGCAAAGAGATTCTGGAGTTGGCAGGAAACACAAAAGACCACATAGAACAGAACACGATCCAAAGAGTTACGCTAAGCTACCAATAAGACAGGTTTAATTTTTTTGTCTCTCTCTGAACACTCTCTCTCAGCTTGATTTCTTGAATCTTAAGTAAGGGTTTTAACTTGCAGGACACGTTTGAGGACAAGAACATAACAAACGATGCATCTAGAGCGACCACAGCAACACAAGGAAACTATTACAAACTATCTGACCTTCCAATGACCACAGGACCGGCTAGCGGTTTTGCGTGGGCCGTGAAGAGACGCAAAGATCCTGATAATATCTCCACTCTAACCTACTATCAACCGAGCTCAAGAAGCCAGTTGAGCGGAACAAGTGTCGCTTTTGCTAAGAACACTTTCGGTTTAAACTTGAAACCAGACAATGATTCAGCCTGGGAGGTTCAGGGAGACGACGATGATCAAATTATCGAGGAGTTACCTAGTGAGGGCAAGCTTAGCCGTATTGGTGAACGGTACGGATCACTTGATGGGTCTGGTTTGGATTTCAGTCAAAGAGAGGAGGATTCTCCAAAAATCAATCTAGTAAGTGCTCTTGCTTTTGTTAAATCCCTTATCAATTCTTAACGGGTCTAAAATTTCAAGCATATAATCCGGCTTATAGCTATATAAGTATTAGTCCGTTTTGACAACTCTAATTTGAATTATAATATTTGGCAAGTAATATTGTTGGTTATATATACAATTGTATACAATTACATAAATTTCTTTGAAGTTGAATGCTTGTGATTGTTGGTGTTGCAGGAGCATCTACAATACGGAAAACAGAGCATATCAGGACCATTGATTTTTAAATCAGGCAAGATCGACGAAATTTTGCAAAGGAATGAAAGTAATATCCGGCAAGCTGTCAGAAAATCTCATTTCCAAAGGGGTAAATAATTTTTTATAAACAACCGGAAATAACAAGATTTATTCTCATTCATTAAACCAGCTTTGGTTTCGTTTTTGGCAGAACAAGATGACAGATAACCTAGAGAGTCAAACTACCGATCGAGAGGAAGGACAAAATTCCACTTTTCATCGTTGTTAGACAAAAGAGGAAAAAAAAAAGAAACATTTCGGAAAATTTGTGTCGTTGTTTAGACAAAAGAGGAAAAACAGATAATCAATTCGGAAAATTTGTGAATCCGATTAATACCCAAAATGTTTCTAAGGCCTCTTCGTTTTATGATGTTATCATGTGATCTGCATGTGATAGGGGAAAAAACTACGTATATAACAAAGGTTTGTCATTTTCTTATTAGAGGGATCTAAAAACAAATAGAGCAATGCATTTTTCACCATCTAAGTAGTTTAAAAAAAAAAAAAAGATAATTCTCATAACTTATTATAGGTAACACAGTGGCACTGTTTTCTGAACCGAGGGATTTATGTTTGTTGACGAAAAATTGATAGTATTTATTATTTCACTGTCCTGTATCTAATTTGTATTAACAATAGACCTCGAATATAACACATTAGCTATAATTTTTTGTCCATTTCTCAAGTTAATTTAACTTGAGACTTTTAAGTTGTTACACATTAGTAAACAATCGCAAGAACAAGACCTAGTTAAAACTTAAAAGAGAATGCACAAGTTGCAACAAATTAAGGACAACTCCATAAGATGACTTTATGGTGTTACAGTATGTGATTATAGTGGGAAAAAATTACAACATTTGTAGGCATACACACTCTTCAACGCACAAGTTAGGTGAAAAAAATTTCAGTTTTTTTCTGATTTTGCTTTGAGATGATCGATCAATACCACCTTGTTGATTATCCATTTTCAGGGATTAAAAGCGTTGGGATTTGGCCATGGTCGACAAAGTCAATCTTGCTCAGCCTTAGACAACATAAGGCTTTTTCTGGTAACTCCTCTGGTTTTTGAGCCTATTTACAAAAATAAGTTTTAGTTCAATTCATTCTTCAACAACAAATATAATAGTGTCTATTAAGAGATGATAACCGAAATATTACCTGGATGGTTAAGCCAAGATCAAGAGTTCCGTTTTTAAGTCGATCTCGAAAAGCTTCAAGCCCTTTTCTTGAGATGAAGCTAAACCGATGAACGTCCAAATCAATCTCAAAGTAATTAGGACCCTGGATAGAGAGAGAGACCACCCCCAAACCGGTCAGAATAGGCGACCAAATTATCATTTATCGGTTAGAAAAGAGTTTGGTTGTGAATAAACACCTTGAAGAAGTTGTGTTGAGGACGTGAAAGGACTGGTTTTTCATTGTAAGCTTGTATAAGCTTCTTTTCAGTGGAGCTAAGACCGAGATCATCCGGGTTAACTAATCCGGCTATGATTTTAAGCCTTTCTCGAAATGCAACAATGTTGTCTTTTGCAAACCCTTTAACTTTCTCCATCTCATCTTCCACTAGTTTCTGCAAACAAACCGTAAAATCAAGGCGAGCATTCACATGAAAGTTATAAGAATTGTTCATCAAGTTTTTAAATGGTTTAGACCTTGATGCTGTCTTGGTATTGCTGAGAGATTTCTTTTTCGAAATTGTCTCGTAATTTGAAGTAAAGTACAATGCTCATGCCTTCTCCATTACTATCACCAAGAAACATTGCGGCTGGATAAGTTGGCAACTGCTTAAGCCAAGATTCATTAGTCTTGGAAAAAACACACATATTTTGATCTAAAGGAACTTTGATTTTTACCTGAATGTTGACAATCAGAAGAGCAGGGAGATTTGCATCAGCATTGATATTGGGAAGCTCGATGTGTTGTGCTATATGATCAATCTTCCCTGGACACACAAACAAGTCAACACCAATTGGAGTGTATGCACATTGGTTTGGAGCCGGTGATTTCCGTTTATCTCTGCATTTTCATTACATTCTCAACAGTTTACTAATCCACATCAAATCATTTGAATGCGCATATATGTATAAAGAAACAGAGAAGTACTTGAAATAGTTTTCGCCACGTAGTTTAAAGTTTGAAGGTGGTATCTCACACCAACTTCCTGAGGATTGTTGCTTATCTTTGGCTAAGCAAGGAATGGTGAATCCCGCTTTTGGACGGTACAAGAATCTCTTGGACGACCCTTTAATACAAAAACCAATAAGAATGCATACATATTTGCAAGACTTTGAGAAAACTTGAAAAACTTACTATATTCGGTAACTTCTTCACCATCGCATGATCTCCTCTTGAAAGAAAGTCGGTAAACGGCAGACTTTCGTTTTTGAGATGTGGGAGAGTTAAGAGTCTTGTCGTTGAAACTAACCGTTGACATCAACCGGCTCAATGTTTTCAATGTTTTCTCTTTGGAGTTACGTTTTGGTTCCTTCAATTCTTTAACAGGCAAGCCATTAGGTTCTTTGTATAAACTTTTGCTATTAAAATTATCAATCTTCATGTAACTCTCATGGTATTCTTCGTAATTTCCTTTCCCATCAACAATGCATGAAGAAGCCTCATACTGAACCACTTGACCATTCTCTGGCCAAATATTATCAGCTGCCAAAAATGGGAAAACAAAGTTCAGATTTTATCAAGAAACAACCAAACATTTCATATGTACGTATGAAATTTACCTTCATGTAGGCTGATAAAGTCATCATCTGAGTCAGAGAAAATACTTAAAGAATCAAACCACGCATCATCTTGAGATACATCTGCAACCAAACCGAAAGATCCAACATTATAAACAAGAAATTCAATTGGAAAGCTCTCTCTTTAACCAAGTGATATGAACCTTTGTTCACGTAGGAAATAGATAAGAAGATTTAGGCTAAGCTTCCTCTTAACCCTAGTCTCTCTTTGAGATTAAGGTTAATTCTTGGAAGCTATATTCTTAATAACCAATAGAGATCCTTATACAGGCATTGATACAACTTAATCATTAACCTAATGTAAATAGGAAAAACCCTAAAACTACTTAAATCTAACGTTAAGAGTATTAAATCCCCACACCAAAACCTAAAACTCTTTAACTAAAAGACCTTAACCATTTTTAACCATAATCCATATCACCATACTCACCAAAAGAAGTTCGGATCCCGACATCACTTGCCCGTCTAATATCTGGATGAGATATGATATCAGACACTTTCGAAATGTGTTTGGAAACTCTGCGGCGGCCTTTCCTTCGCGGCCTAATTCTTCGTGATGAACGTGTTGACATACATGTACCCATTTTTAGATCCTGCCAAGGACAAACACATAAGTTTTCTCAACAAAACATAACACACATATGAATATATGATACGCGGATGATTTAAAACATATCTCCAACTCCAACATACAAATGTGATTTTGTCTCAGATGAGAGATAGTAAAGAAACAAGATTTGAACAAGCTTGTAACACAATCATCTCTAGAGATACTAAGACGTGACTTTGTAGTATATTTTTACATTGGATCAAGTCATTGTCTGACTTTGTCTTGAACAGGTATATACAGACTAAAGAATCAGCTACAAGATTCATTCAAAATATAATATATTTCAGCCTTTAACAAAAAAAAAATTGTTTGACCAAAAAAAAACAAAAGATATATATATATATATATTATATTTCAGCCGTCCCCAAACATAAAAAGAACAGGGACTCAAGAAGATTTAGCAACAAATGTATGATAGAGACATGTAAGTAGTTTTACCAAGTCAAAATCTACAAGTGGAAGTTGCCACGAAACTCAACATTGTCATTAACTAAATCACTAAATTGTTTGTTCAAAGGGCCAAATTAACATCATTAAAAACACAGGACTAAACACATTTTATGCAATAAGCCAAACCTTAATAGGGAAGCTCTCAACACTGTCATGGCGTCACACAATTTGGTAGGAAACGTTATTTAAGAAAATTTCAAGAATTATTTTGGTTTTATGTAAATTATAATTTTTATATGCATCCAGAATTTGCATTGAATAGAGACGTTACTCTAAGAAAAACAGAAAAAAGGGAAATAGGACATAACAGATTCAATATTTATCAGGTTCATGTAATAACAAATTTTCTCATAAACAGACAAATATGGCAAGAATGTCAACATCATATTCAAAAAGGTGAAATTAAGAATTTACAATAGGATAAATGAGATTTTCAAATAGAGAATAAAAAAAATTTGTAAAGATATTGGTCTTGATGAGTCTAAAGATTCAATGAACATTACATAAACACATGGCACATGCAATGTATAAAGATCAATATCGATTCTTAGCAGAATTAAAAATAGATCCAAAAGATGAAAATTATAAATATTTAAGGAAAATCAGAAGAAAAAAAAAGCTCCAAAAATGGATACAAAGATCATGCAATGACCTACACAATGTATAGACGAGAAATTATGGGGGAAAAAGGAAGAAGATTTGACGTGGGTGAAGTTCATAGTTGTTTCTTATGGTTAAAATTTACCTGGAAAAGGGAAATTCACTAATTTTTCGGAGACACAAACAGAGTAAGAAGAGGAAGAAGAAGATTTGCAAGAAAGAGATTCTCGTTGTTTTGGATCGTACCCATCCCAAATTTCCCGTTCATAGTCATTTCTATTTAACTAATTACCCGTTTGAAGATGTTTAGTTAAATGTTTAATTATGTTAAACAAATCAAAGACATAAGTACGTGGGATATAGAAAGGGGGTATCCGTACTCGTTTATATTAAATAAAAAATGTTTTTAATTTCTCAAAGTTCCCTTAAATTTTCTAATATTCATCATAAAAATTACATGAATAAATTATAATACGGTTTCTAATTCGATGTTCTATCGAATTATTTGTTCTAAAGTTAGATTTTATGTTTAGTTAATGTTGGATAGTGACTTTAATTACCTAAATTTTTTGAAATACGGTTTGTTATCTGAAATCTTTGTTTGTATAAGAATACTTTGATAATTTTTCATTATATTTAAATTATCCACTCTTGATCTTTACTTGCTACTTTTCCATCATAATACTCGAAATGGACATCAAAAGCCAACTAGAAAGAAAAGGAGAATTTCTTGTTTAAATGCATTGATTTTTGGGTAGGGGTTGTTTTTCATAAGGCATTGTTGTCAATGGCGGATCTAGAAAAAAAAATAGTTGGGACATAATTTAATAAATAAAGAAAAAAAATTTTAGTTGGGGAAACTTTATATTTTAACTACTAAATTTCAAATATTTAAATTAAATTTATCTAAATTATTTAAGAAAATTAAAAGTGATCCCGTCGGACGTTAACTACATCCGCCCTGATCGCCGTGATCGTTGTTATTAGATTTTTGGTGAGCACATATAGACCTCTATACTTATAGTCTAAATTTGGCTTGAGACGATATATTTACAGCGAATGTATAACCCGAACCCTGGGATTGATTTTCTATTGACTGAGTCAGGTCAGGTAGCGCTAGATGCAGAACATTCTACAACGGATATTAAATATGATGCAACACGATAGCACATGCATAACGAAATGACTCACATTTGAAGAGTGTTCCTAACACAGTTAAGGCAAGCGTATCTATGTGTACGTGTAAATTTAGTGTTTAGTCAACTTCGTGTGGATGAGTTGACTGAAGGCCATGAGTGCTCCCATGACCTAGGCGAGGATGTGATACACGTCCGTCAAAAAAATTTTGGGAGACGTGCTTATCATGGCCACTTCACTTATACCAGTTTTCGTGTTATTCGATATTCTTTTCTTACAAATAAATATGTAATCGAGATACCACATTAAACGTAGAATATTAATATGTGAACTAGATGTTATTGTATATATTGTAGTAGTTATTACTAGGTATATTTTTGTTGCTTGCTCCATAGAATTCATTAGATGTAAATTTTAAGTGTAACAAGTATTTTAAGTTCTTAACACATATAACAAAAATATGTATAGCTCGTTCATGAGCTCGTGATGTGGTGCCTATCAAAAGTATGTTTGTGAGTGTTACGATTCTTGAGCTCAATAAATACCTTCCATGTCCTTCTAATAAGCAAACTCTATTGTCGATGGTGAACATTAATCATCTGAAGAGACTGAAATGGCTTTAGAACTCGAGGCTCGAATGCCTTTGGAATATCTTCTTTCTCTTCGCTGTGCTGTACGTATGATAATTGTTAGAAATAGAGTTAAATGTTGAATTTCTTTCTCTAATGTTTAGTTCATTTCTTACATAAAGGTTTTTATGAAAGAAAAAAATTAATCTGAGTCTACATAATAAAATATTAAAATAAGATATTTATATAATATAAATCTTCCTTTAAAAATATAGAGCCTAATTCTAAAATTGTATAAAGATGTTAGATTTTTCAGTAATAAAATGAAAATTTAAATAAAATATTCAAAATACTTAGCTAATAAATATAGTTCAAATTTAATTTTTTTTTTTAAAGTATCTGAGCAACAGCTACACATTATAAATTTACGTTTTATAGATTTTTTTCATATTTTCTCCGTTGGAAATTCTGGAATATATAGAAATTTATATAGAAATAAACTCAATATATTATGTCTATATATATATTTGCTATATTTAAATAGAATAGGAAATATAAAGTGTGTTGTTAGTCAAACCACCCATTAACATTGAATTGCAATTAATTTCAAAAGGAAATATATATTTTTTTAAATAAAATATTGTTGAATATGTAGATTTTTATAACCATATAAAACCAAACCATTCATAATATATTGTAAATTTTTTTGTCATGTTTAGCTTTAATTAGCTAAAACAGAAATTGACCTTTTAAACGTTGGGGGTGTGGAAATCAATTATGATTATGACTCATGAAAAAAGTGTGACTTAGTTTTTTTTCTTTACGTCAGTGTGACTCAGTTTTACACCAGACAAAACTAGATAAAAACCAAAAGAGACGAGATAAGTTACACGCGTCCAGGTACACATTTATTTTCTTATCTTTTTCCCCCTTTTCTCTATAGAAGTAATTTTTGCTGTATGTGTTTATATATGCTATAGATTTCAGTTTTTCTTTTTTCATTCAGAATCTTTGCGAGTCTTCTTCTTTTCAAAATACATTTCAAGGTTTTCCTTCTGTTCAAGTTAAACATGTTTATACTACTACGGTTTACATAATACTTAAAATCTCATTATGTAACTAATATGATGAACGAAATGAAATCTGTTGAAGTATCATTTTGATTTCGGAAATTCTCATTTTGATGGTTTTCCTCTATATCTTTACAATGATATGTTCAACTTGATGATTTTTTTCTATATATGTTGCAGATTTTCAACCTAGAGTAAAATGGATGGATATAAGTGTAAGCAGGTATCAGCTCTACCAAATTATAGGGTTGGTAAAACTCTGGGATATGGAACTTTTGCGAAGGTGAAATTGGCTGAGCATGTTGCAACTGGACATAAAGTTGCAATCAAAGTCCTTAATCGTAATAAGATTAAGGAGATGAATATAGTCGGAAAAGGTATATAGATGTTTTTTTAATTATTGAATAGGTTTCGTAAAATCATAAGATCGTAGATATCCATTATTATCAATGATTGATGGTCTAGATAATTATAAATGGTTTTTTTTGTAAGGATATTTTTCATATTAGGAACCCAACACCAAAAAATTATGTCAAATATGACTATCGATCTAGTGATCTAGTATTCATGATTTTGATAGTCATATTAGTGATTTAGACGAAATCTTTCAAAAAAAAAATCAACGTGGATAATGTAAATAGTTTTTTTTTCAGGATTGTATGGTACTCTTTTCACATTAAATTTTGAGAAACTGACATTAACACAGTTTATGTCAAATGTGACTATCAATCTAGTGATTTGTGTGTCTTCATCATCCGAATACGACAAAAAATAATATGTTAAATGTTCATTTTCTTTATTTATAAGATCACTTTTTTGTTTGTTTGGACTTTTACTTATAAACTTTGATAATTTTTATTATTGTTTTGAACCTTGATCTTATACATTGTTTTCCCTTATAGTGCAAAGGGAGATCAAAATTCTCAGAATGTTGATGCATCCTCATATCATCCGTCAATATGAGGTAGTAGAGACACCGGACAACATTTATGTTGTGATGGAATATGTTCAGTCTGGTGAACTGTTTGACTACATTGTGGAGAAAGGGAAATTACCTGAAGACGAGGGTCGCTATCTTTTTCAGCAGGTTGGTTTGTTTTCTCATACGGTTTATATATATTTTGTAAAACATCATATCATATATATGATTGCTAAATATTTTATTAAAATCGTATATATTCAGATCATAGCTGGTGTGGAGTATTGTCATCGCAATAGGGTTGTTCATAGAGATCTTAAGCCGGAGAACATCCTTTTGGATGCAAACTGCAACATAAAGATTGCTGACTTTGGATTAAGTAATGTCATGCCTGATGGTCATTTCTTAAAGACAAGCTGTGGAAGCCCTAACTATGCTGCTCCGGAGGTTTATATTACTAGGGAAAAATATTGATTTCTTATTTCATTTAAATTGGGTATATATTTCAAGTTTCAATTAATTACACTCGAATTGTTTTTATTAGGTTATTGCAGGAAAGCCTTATGCTGGACCACAAGCTGATATCTGGAGTTGCGGAGTGATATTGTATGCTCTATTATGCGGCAAACTGCCTTTTGATGACGAAGTTGTGCCTAGTCTGTTCAGTAAAATAAAGGTATTATACAATGATCTTTCATAAATATATCTATTAATATACAAGTTTTGCAGTCCAACACTTATGTTCTTTTTCTCTTTAGAGGGGAGAGTATACTCTTCCAGATCATTTATCATATGCAGCTAGAGATTTGATACCAAGGATGCTTATGGTTGATCCTGTGATGAGAATAAGCATTGCTGAGATTCGTCAACATCCTTGGTTCAATATTCATGTTCCTGGCTATCTAGCTGCTCCTCCATTGGATACTGCAGAACAGGCTAGAAAGGTTAGAGCATTTTCATTATTATGTAGCAAAATAATATCATTTGTATGAATTGGTGAAGTTCAGAATATATCATTATTTCCAGATTGATGAGGAGATCATTCAAGAAGTGATCAAACTAGGATTTGATAGAAACCAGGTCATTGGATCGCTTGTCAGCAGAATCCAAAACGAGGTATGAGAGTGTGTTTTCTTATAATTAAGTATCTTTATGCCCTAACTAGTCAAATATATTATAACTAAAGCTTCATTTTTCATTGTTTTAGGCAACAGTTGCATATTATCTATTACTGGACAATCGACGTCGTGCTCCTAGTGACTATTTCCAAACCAGCTTCAAGGAGAGATTGGTATTTGCTCTCTTTCTTTACAACACACACTATGGAAATTAAAACATACACTCTGCAATAATATTTGTTTTGTGTTTTACACGTTTTGGTGATGAATATGTAGAATACCAATTATTTTCACATTTTGAAAACGCAGTTCTACTATTTTCAACAATTTATAATATCCGTCACATTTTCACGTTTTTTATAGAATGGTTCTGCTATATATTATACACATGTTATTAGAACTAAAAAGAATATATAAAGTTATATATGAATCGGAAAAAAACTAATTTTGTTAGCGTTTTATGCTCAAATTTCAACTACTTTGTTATATTGTCTTTCAACTTTTGATCTTACATACGAGTCATCACCATTATAGTTTCTTGTATCGTGTGTTGTCTGTTGATGCTTTAAGTCTTATTTAGGGTTTCTGCTCACATTTTTTTTTATTAATGTTATAAATATAGGATGGTACTTTGAGTTCGATGATTCCACCTCAAGTGCTTGCTTCGTATCCTGCATTAGTTGATCACCACATGACTGGACTACAGTCACGAGTCAATGTGGATAAAAGTTGGACCCTTGGACTTCAGGTCAGTCACTTAGTCAATGGTTGTTAAATCCTTTCATTTGTTGAATGATTAAATATTTGAAACAAATGATAAATTGTGCTCTCTCTATCCACTTTACAAACAGTTTAATTTTTGAGTTAAATTTCCTTTGTTTCGAGAATATCGTTTATCTCTACCAGTTAAAACTTATGACTAGAGTAGTTAAACTTTTGTTCTTGTTATTTTGACAGTCTCAAGCGCATCCTCGTGAAATCATGAGTGAGATTTTTAAGGCTCTTCAAAATCTGAAAGTTTCTTGGAAAATGATTGGAGACTACAACATGAAATGCAGATGGGTTCACCAGAGTGATATCTCCAAAGAGAACCCTAACATGATGAAAGATGAATGTGCCATGACCTCACCGAGCAGCGTCCTCAAGTTTGAACTTCAGGTATATACAACATATTAGTTTCTTCTTCATGTATTTTCTTCAATTCATATAGTTAAATGTAAATATGATTTTTTTTTTTTTGTTATAGCTTTACACAGTGTGTGAAGGCAAGTACTTGTTGGACATCCAGAGAGCTACTGGAGCTCACTTTGTCTTCTTGAAGCTATGCCTCGCTCTTCTCAAAGAGCTACATGTGATCTGAAGCTCAATATTTTTTTTAGATATTTGTGCTTCAGTCGTTGGAATTCATTTTATGTTTGTATGATTTCCTGTTTTTTAGGATTAAGTAAGCTTCGATACTAAACCAAAAGACAAGTTCATTTGTATTGTCTATCTGCATGTTTTTTCTTGCAAAGTGCATGTGGCTATGAACAATATATATCTATTTGTATTTAACCAAATATATATATATATATATATATTTATTGTATTTCCAGTGATCATTTCTTCATTATTTGGTTAATCATTCTCGATTTCTAGCGCCAAATTAAACACAAAAGCACAGTTTTAGTCTGTTGACTAATAATTATAAAATGTCATGTATCCATGACTAGTAATTAAGAATAATATATTACAAGAACTTTTTATATGAAATTCAAAGGTCCATTTCTTAAATTTTGTTCTCATAATTCATGTGCAGCAGGAGCTTCTGGAACCATTGTAGTTAGAAGTTAGAATATAGACCTCACAAACTAGAAACTGACATAATTTACAGTATGTAATCATCAAAACAAAGTCTTCTTAATTCCGTAATCAAAAAATTGACTAGCGTACTTGGCTACTTGCACAAGACGTCCGGAAGAGGAATCAAATCCACCAAACAGGAGAAATTGTATCGTTCGTTTAAGATTTTTCTTTTTCTAAATCAGAATTTCACTAATAAAGTTCATTAAGTAGTTTTACAATGCCATCTTGCACCAAAAAAACGGTTTAACAATGCTCTTAATTACCATTTTTGTTACGAAAAAGACCCACAAACATTATTAAGACAATCTTACAAGTATTGCTATTTAAAAAAAAACAACTAACAAAATGTTAGCTTAAAAAGGGGCTGAGACAATGGTGGTTTCTAGTTGAATCGATTGTATAAAGCTTGACGGCTAGATCCAGGACAATCTGTGATCCGAAAGTCCAAAAAGGGGCTGAGACAATGGTAACTAGATAAGGGTGCCAATGATTAATGGAATTGGTAAATGAGAAAATATAAATAAAGTGAGTTTATAGATATTCATCTCCATATATATAAGTACTAGGATAGTATCCGTGCTATGCACGGGATGAATGTTATCTTTTATACCGAAATCATAAACTACTATAATATATGTGTACAAGATGTTGAATGACAAATCAATTAATTGCGCATTTTGTTGTATTTGAAACAGAATTTATTTTAAGTGTTTATTTATGTTAGTGTTTTAAGTGTTTACTTCAAATAACAAACCACCGCAAAACTGAAAACGGAAAAAGACAAATCCTACGGGCTAGGAAAAAAATAACCGAAACTTAAACAATGAGATATTGTAGTAAATCCTAGAAAACAAAGCAAGCAGGAGAATGCATATTGTTAAAGAAACGAAGACTTCAGTCATCAACTTTCTCCTTCTTAACAGGCTTCAGATAAATTTTTACTTCACTCGCCAAAGCCTTCATGTCGCCATTAGCAGCTTTCTTAGAAGTAGACTGCTCTCCATTATGATCATCAAAGTCAATTATCTCATCGCTTTTCCTTTTTGACTGTGGTGAATTATCATCGTCGCCAATGTCAAGTAACATCTTAGGAACCTAAAATGACAAATTTAAACAAATACGTTTATGCACATTCATATAATATTAATGAGAGCTATCTAATTCCTAAATAGCAAACATGTTCATCGGGAGTTATAAACCCCATTTCCTCAGACTTGACATCAGGGGTAGTCTATAAATAATACAATAAGTTAACAAAGATCAAAAGGCAATAAAATATGAATAAATACTAATAGGAATAAATAGTTTAGGGATCAAACCAAAAATCCCGGATATTTCTGAGATTCTTTGACCATGTCACTTTGGGTCACAATCTTTGTACTTTGTAACATCACCGTTGAAAACGATGTTTGAACTCTCAATAGATAGCTTGAACAGAAAAATTTCCCACAAATGTTACTGATTGGAAGAGGGAGTACATCTGGATCTTGGATCTGCAAACAGTTTAGCAAACATATAAGCATATCTATTATATATAGTAAGATTCACTATAATAGAGTTGATAGTAATCTGCATAACTACCTCTTCCACAGATTCAGTCAATTGTGCAGCTGTTTGATTTACAACTTCCATGGCAAGCTTATCAAAGAGTAAGAACTTTGTTTCGCCAGTGTTGTCCATAACACGGAAAGTCAGCATAAACCTATGTTAGCATAGAACAACATATGAATATGAATATATATGGAAATTACAAATATTCTTTTTTTTCTACAAATTGCATCCAAGACTTACGCTGGTACGACACTTTCAACATCATCCTTACATTTGCCACATTTCCACAACTGTTTAGGAAATGGCCTACCAGGATATTGCTCTTTCAACAAATCCATATCAAGAGGAAGCACCTTTTTAGAGCATACTTTGCATGACATATAGTACCATCCAAACTCAGTGTCAATAGACATGATGGTAGCCATAGTCACACATTTTTCAACCTAATAATACCTTTCTTTCTTTTAAAAACCCAATCGCCATTTGTTGTTTAAGAAATATGTATATCACGCAAAATAAATACCTCAGATGCACCAAGTATTTCACTTATTGTCCGGCGAGGGGTATGTAAGAAGAAATCATCTCTTACAGAAACAGAATTGACAATTGTCAATTGGTTAGGGTGTGTGTATGACAAAGTCACATTATCTTTTGGTAAGCTGTAAAGGAAAAAAATCATGGATTTTAGTGACATGAAAGTAAACTAAATGGAAAATTGATAAAAGTTATAGATATGAATATACCGGTTTCTAAAAGAATTTATTTCAGGGAGATCAGGATCTGTCATCACAATGGAAGAACTGTAACAATTGCCAATACTCCATACACCTAAATAATGAAATGTCTTGAAAGTTATATATATATTTAAAAACGATATTTTGTTTGTTAACAAAAAACATTTTTCTCGTACCTTGATACAATCTTAACTTTCCAAATCTTAACACAAAACAAATGATAGCATTAGTTGCATGTGTAGCAACACTCTCCAAACTTTCGGCATAATTCCCCCAGAGAACACAATTCAGGCGCACATCACTAAAAAACAAAAAAATATATTAGACGTCTTATTAACAATATTTAGGTGTCAAAGAGAATTAAAAAACCTGGTGTCACGAAGTGTCATTGTTAGACGTTTGGTCTGTTTTTTGTTAACGTTGAGAATCTCAACCTCACCAATACTAACAATTTGTCCAACAATATCTGCAAAATAAAAACATAAACCAATAATTAGATGTAATATGCTTTGGTTCATATTAGTAATGTATGTGAGATATAAATATACCATTTACCTATTAGAAAATCAGGATTCAACTTGCCCTCGTGAATATCAGCGAAGTTCACCAACTTCAACCCAATAATTGTGGCATCCAGATCTTCAGAAGGTCTGACAGACGTCGTGGCAGCAAACTGGATCTTGTAAACATGAGAAGTAGTCCTGAACTTACCACCGTTGTGAGTGACTTGAAAATTAGTGATGATCTTAGTAGTTCCTTCCTCTAGAAGATTTTCAAATTTTTTTATGAACTGCTTCTTCATACTAACATGCATAGTTTGATTTTGCATGGCAATATAATAATAAGCAAAACGTTAAATAATATATATATGATCAAAATGGATCAGTATGAATATCAAACAAACAAAGTACAAAACAATACCAGTTCATCGACAACGACCATCTCCATCGTCTCGATCCTATTCAAATACTGTTTCCACAACTTCAGTATCTTGACACGGATCCTCCATTGAGTTTTGAATGGCTTTAGGGCAGTGAGGGATGTGAAGGTCGATATCAACAGTGGTAACTATATATAGCGAAATGATGAATGGGGTGAGTCTAGGGTAAATCTTCGATACAATCTTTAGAAGAGGGAAAATATTGTAGGCGGTCAATTATGAATTTGAATTTGAATGACGTTGAAATTTGATAGATTTAGGCAATTTTGATATATTCAATTTGCAATATTGCTCGTTTTCCGTAGAGTGTCTATTTTGTTTAATTACTTCTACATATAAAGAAATACGGAATATTTTGATTTAGGTAGGTACAGTGCATCTAAAATATATCGGAAATATAGGGCTTGTTTAGACTATCCAAACAATGATTTAAAATTCGGTTATATAATTTCAGATTGATACGGTTACGATAATATAGGAAGATAATATAATCATTAACTGATAAATTTGGAATATGCATACATTGATTCCATTTATGCTTAATCATTTAATTGTGTCGAAAAATTCAGAGGAAAGTTTAAGGTAGAGTTATGATTTCTTCATTATTACGGTTATTAAATTTTAAAATTAAATGAACCGAGATTATGGGATCACGTATATTGACACATTAATGTAAACAATATTGTAGCTAAGATTTGAAATTTATGAAGCGGGAATATGTGATCATGTATATTGGAGTGAATATAATTATAATTATCAATTGTATAAATACATACCTCATTTGTATAATAGTAATTATGTAGAATAATAAAATTTGTACTTCTCAGAATGTTTATTTATGATATGAATGTGAATATAAATTTTGCATAAAATAAAGAAAATAAAGAATAAGAAAATAAAGATAGTAATAATTTAAATTTAAATTTTGCTAATCAATCGATTGCTTTGTCAATTTATATTAGTATATAGTTGTTTTGTGTTGAAAATAAGGTAGATGAAATGAAAATTATGCATGTATAAATCATAAATTTTTAAAGAAGTCAGTTGAGCTAAATAAGGAAAACGAATGAAAAAATTAGTAAATAATAAATTAAATTCTAATTGGCGGAGGGATATAAATAAGAAAATAATCATAGGTGGAATATAATAAATTATTTAAAAGAAAAATGCTGAGAAAAATTGTGGGAACGACACCTCAGCAAAATGGCCTCCAAATTCTTCATGTTTAATGTATAGAGGATAAATGAATCTCCATATGCTTAGATATTTAGTCCTTATAAAAATGATTTAAGTATTATAATGACTATGTTTCTAAGATTTTTAAACATTATTTAAGATGATTTTTGAATTACAACCCACCCATGGTAAATTTTTATAAGTACTTTTTTGCCTATGACTTTTTTTCTGGTGGACAAATTTTTTGCCTATGCTTATATCTTCAAACTTTTTTTTCATCTGATTAATTCATATTAAAGCTGGTGTTAAAACCAGAGTTTCACAATTTGGATCAAAGCAAATCACACAATCATAAAACATGAGAGAGTTACATAATATACAGAAAACTCTCACAGCTTCAAATAGATCATGTAGCCATGCCGGAATATAGCCACTACATTTAGGATGAGCAAATACAAATCAGGAGAGTTTATAGATATTCATCTCCATATATATAAGTATAATGAATCTCCATATGCTTAGATAAAGTTCTTATAAAAAATGATTTAAGTATTATAACGACTATATTTCTAAAATTTTTAAACATTATTTAGCATGATTTTTGAATTACAATCCATCCGTGGTGAATTTCTATGAGTACTTTTTTGCCTATGACTTTTTTTTCTGGTGGACAAAGTTTTTGCCTATGCTTATATCTTCAAACTTTTTTTTCATCTGCTTAATTCATATTAAAGTTGGTGTTAAAACCAGAGTTTCATAATTTGAATCAAAGCAAATGACACAATCATAAAATGAGAGAGTTACATAATATACAGAAAACTCTCACAGCTTCAAATAGATCATGTTGCCATGCCGGAATATAGCCATTACATTTAGGATGAGCAAATACAAATCAAGAGAGTTTATAGATATTCATCTCCATATATATAAGTATAAATGAATCTCTATATGCTTAGATATTTAGTCCTAATAAAAAATAATTTAAGTATTATAACGACTATATTTCTAAAATTTCTAAACATTATTTAGGATGATTTTTGAATTGCAATCCACCCGTGGTGAATTTTTATAAGTATTTTTTTTTGTTTATGACTTTTTTTTTGTTGGACAAAGTTTTTGCCTATGCTTATATTTTTAAACTTTTTTTCATCTGATTAATTCATATTAAAACTGGTGTTAAAACCAGAGTTTCACAATTTGGATCAAAGCAAATCACACTATCATAAAATATGAAATCACACTATCATAAAATATAAGAGAGTTACATAATATACAGAAAACTCTCGCTGCTAGATCATGTAGCCATGCCGGAATATAACCATTACATTTGAATTGTACAGGATCTGTTAGTTGAAAAATTGTCAATGTAATTATTCTTATAATTTGTAATAAAATTCCAGTTTAAATATATAATAAATTTGAGACGACAAAATGGAAAGTGAAACAAGTAGACTTTGAAAAGTTTGTAGTCAACTTCAACTTGAAACGGAAGACGATTTTTCTCGCATCGTCTGCTTTAACTCTCTCTCTTCTTCTACAATCTGATTCCAACTTTGATTTCTTCTTTGTGATCCGCTAGAGAAATCCCATACATCTTGTCATTAGTTTCGATAAACTCTCGATGGGGTGATTAAAAAGTTTGATTCTTTGTCATCTTGTGTACATAAAGTTTGATTCTTGCGTTTCGATCTCCGAACTCCGAATCCTGTTAGGTTCTTTGCTAGTTCGTGGAATCAATTTCTGGGTTTAGGGTTTAGTGATGAAGATCGGCGATTCGCCATCGGAATCATCTGATGCTTGCTTGCTACTTTCGCTTCCAGAGGATTCATTTGCTGTCATCTCTCGTTTTCTTTCTCCGAGCGACATTTGTAACCTAAGCTTATGCTGCAAAAGCCTCTCTGACCTTGTGGATTCAGAGAAGATCTGGTTTGTGCAGTGTGAAGTAGTAAAGGCTCTTCCTTTATCCGAAATTTTCCAATGGAGAACCGGGATCTCTTCTTACAAGTCCCTTTGTCGGTTTCTCGTAGAGGTGGTGAATCCTCTTGTCGGGATTTGGGTTCATCAAAACCCTGAGCTTGGGAACGTTGTTTACGTGATGCCTGGTTTCTTGTCTGTTGTTGGTTGCCGGATAATCCCACAAGAAGTTGGTCCTTTGGGGATTCAAGAAGGTCGTGTTATGTGGTCACCGGTTTTCGAGATAATCTCCGGTCTTGATGGTGGCTCCACGGCGTTTTTCCTCCATGGAATAGACAGAGAAAGCAGCTGCTTGTACCCTGGTTTTGTAACTAGCATTGATAAATGTTGCAATGTGCTTCTTCTCGAGGTTGAGCCTAGGCGAGATAAGAGGCTGTGCGGTGAGGTTGAGAATGGTGAGGTTCGGTTTCCGTTTTGTAAGCTTCCTTTTGCCGAAAGAAGAAAGTTGCTATATATGGTGACTGGCCGTGTAGGTTTAAATGTGCCTGAGGTATCAAGTGGGATGATATTTCCACATAAAGCCATGTCCTTGGAACGAAGAGCCATGCTCCTTAAGATGCACAAGTTTGGTGGTAACTGGAATCACATGAGCCTTGAGGATGAGTTGTGTTATGATCCGATTCAGGTGGATATAAACGAGCTGTGGACGAATCTTGGCTATGGCGAAATGGACGATGAGAATGAGATACAGGACACACAGAGGAAGAGCTTGAGCAAGTATTTCAGAAGTAGCATCAAGCGTATTTTAAGGAGGTCTAGTTCAAGTTCTTCAAAGCAGCACACTTGTTCTTCTTCTTCTTCTTCTTCTAGCAGTGAGATTAGACGTTCCAATCTCCAAACGTTTCTAAGCTCTGGTGATTCGGTAGGTCTTAGTGTCAAAGCTACACAAACTAAGCTTTCTTCTTACAGAGGCTGGCCAAACATGCATGAAACCCGTTTTGCGCTTTATAAGCTACCGAGTAAGGATCCAGTGGAGAGCCAAGAGTATGCTGGTTTGTGGGGAGGAACTTTTGGCTGGCCACCAGGGAAATTCACTGAAGATAAACCAGGTAAGGCTCTTTTCTTGCTGATGCTCACTTATGAAGAAGAATCTCGAGATGATAGTGAGAGACTTCTTATTGGGACGAAGATACTCGAAGGCACTCACTATGTGATGCATCCTAATGGTTCTGCGATGTTTGTTGTCAAGATTGGTTCGCCTTCCTCTGAGATCTTTCCTTTTGATGATACAAATGGAGAAGAGTTTGAGCATTGTTACACAGGAGAAGGTATTGCAAAAGGTTATGGTTTTCGTTATCCTGGTTACAAACCGGGTTCACTTTTCGTTACATCTAAAGGTCTTCTCGTGTTTGTTTGGAAAGAAACCAAAGTTGTGTTGACGTTGCAAAGACTTGACCTTGAAGAGTTATTGAAGAAAGGTGTGTGTGTATCGCCTTTGCCTCCATGTCTGAATTTTACTTATTTGACGAAATCTCACACCAATGTGTTTGCCTCGGGGAGAAGAACATCATAGAAGAAAGACTTCTGCAACTGCAGATTTGAAGCTCACAAGTCTTGTCTTGTTTCCAATATACAATCTTATTATTGAATGACAAAACCACAAGATAATGATTTATAGATAGCTTAAGATCATTGAGCTTTTACATTCAATATGCTTGTAAATCTATTATATTAAAACAGAATCACATTTAATACTTGATTCCAAACACTTCTAATTTTTTTTAAGTGTTTAAAAATAACTTTAATAATTATTTATATTTAATTTTAAAAATTAGTTATTAATTTAAATATTTTTAGAGTTCTTTAAATATAGGTAATTTAGATTTGATTTGATTTGATTAAAAATAATAAATCAGATATTAGTTTAGATTTGATTTAAAGATTCTAATTTAAATAATTTCTATACTACTAAATATTTTTATCAAAAATATCTAAAATTTTTGAAAAAAAAATTTCACATATGAAAAATAATAGTCATATTTGAAATATAAAATATTTATAATGATGTAAATGATATGATATTTATTTTGTGTTTATAATATATTTACGATTATGGTTTATTTACAAATTAATAATAAAATAATAGATAAAATTCAAATGTATATTTAAATATTAAAAATATATTTTTAAAAATTCATATATAGAACTAAAAATATATATAAAAACTGGGTTAAAAATATTTTGGTAACTAATATCACTAATTTTGAATTATACATGTATATCAAAAATATATTTTTCATACAAAATCAAAATATAAAAAATTAAAAATTATTGCATACACTATAATATGGTTTGAAAAACCAGTTGTATACTCCATTCGTTGATTAAATTTTAGAAAACTATAATGCTAATAATATTGTTAATACATCTCAAACTTTTAACAAATATTTATATCATATGGTAATATGAACGAAAAAATTAGAATTATGTTTTTATAATAGTTCAATTTGAATTAATATTAGCGGACAGGTTAAAATTATATTTTTATAATCATAATTAATTTTAATACTATAAAAATATATCTAAACACAAAAATCAATATTTTCGCTTATTAAAAAATATATTTATAAAAATAATTATATCTAAACTCATAAACACAAATTATATTACAAAATTCGTTAAACAATAAAAATATTTTCGTGTGGATGCACAGGGTTAGAATCTAGTGTGTGTTTAAATACTAAATACAAAACATTGTACTGCTAAAGGAACTACATTTGCTAAGAACTTAGATTTGTGGACATTTTTCTTTAAATCAGCTTTAAGCTAAAGCAAAAATTACACAAACTCAGTGTAAGTCAACTTTAAATATGTTGAAAATTGCAAAATATGGGAGTTTGATTAACACAATATTTAGTGTTTTCTCACTTAGGCCAAAATGAATTATAAAATACACTTTCGCAATTTGCATCTGAAGGCTTTATACATCGATAGGCCCATGCGCCCAACTAGCGAAAGGAAGAAGCGGCCCATCTCAGAGCTTCCACTTTCAGCTTTCACAACCTTCTCTTTGATCATCTCTCTCAGAGGATACATCCGATGCTTCTCCGATCGCCATCCTCGTGACACTCCACAGGAGCTAATTGCAGGAAGGAAAGATCCACGTTTGATGTGTTTCTCGTGATTCAGGAGAAACAAGGATCTGATCTCAATTGGGTTTAGGGGCAAGCTCTCACTCTACCTCCGCATCGGCTCGAGCATTCACCATTGTCTCATTAGCACTGAGAGCTTCTTCTCCGTTCAACGCAAACGCCATAGAACCCACGATAACACACCCTTTCATAGCTCATTATCTGTCTCTCTATTTGGTTTCAAAGAGTAGAAGCTCAGCAAAATTTGGATCTCTTTTCTCGATCCCGATCTCTCCTGCAAAATTCCGCCATTTTTGCAGTGCCTCTGTGTGTTAATCGACAGTGTTCCTGTGGTGATCTTCAGCCAGGTACTTTCCTCGATCCACTTCCCTTCTTCGCTTTCCAATTTCAAATCGTTTCTTTGTACTGTGATTAGCTTCTCAAATTTTCGTGGGTTTTGCTGATTTGCGATTTCTATGGGTTTTATTTTGTTTTCTCAATAAGCGCACTTAGATCTGAATTGTACTGTTTCTTTTGAATGTGTTACTTGGTGAAGTTGAAATGAAATGATTTTGATTCTTGCGGTGATGGGAATATTTTGTAAAATGATTCTCCTTTTGACTATTTGCAGGCTGCATGCTTCGTGTGTGTTTTGGTGTTTGAGAGCCAAGAATCTGGGACGAGTTATGGGGTACCAAAATCATCCTTCGGGAAGCAACTCGTTCCATGGAGAGCTCAAGAGCTGTCACACAAAACCGTCCAAGGGTGCTTTGGCATCCATGATCAATTCCGAGATCGGAGCGGTTTTGGCTGTGATGAGGAGAAATGTACGGTGGGGTGTTCGCTATATCGCAGATGATGATCAGCTTGAGCATTCTCTTATCCATTCTTTGAAAGAATTGCGTAAGCAGATATTTTCATGGCAAAGCAATTGGCAAAACGTTGACCCGAGACTGTACATACAGCCCTTCTTGGATGTTATACTATCCGATGAAACTGGTGCTCCGATCACCGGCGTTGCTTTGTCATCTGTCTATAAGATCTTAACCCTTGACATTTTTACCCTCGAGACCGTGAATGTGGGAGAGGCGATGCATATCATTGTTGATGCTGTGAAAAGCTGCCGTTTCGAGGTAACTGATCCGGCATCGGAGGAAGTGGTTCTGATGAAGATACTTCAAGTTCTTCTGGCTTGCATAAAGAGTAAGGCGTCTAATGGTCTGAGTAATCAAGATATTTGCACCATTGTCAACACTTGTTTGCGTGTTGTTCATCAATCAAGCTCCAAAAGTGAGTTGTTGCAGCGTATAGCTCGCCACACGATGCATGAGTTGGTTAGATGTATCTTCTCTCAGCTTCCTTATATCAGCCCGCTGGCCAATGTGAGCGAATTACATGTCGGCGATAAGGTAAATCAAACTAAACTTTCATGTTAGCATTTTTAGTTTGGTCTACTTTTAGATAGAATCTTCAATGCCAAGCATATTGATTGATAGAAGATAGCTCATGAAAGATTATTAAGGTGAATAGTATTGACCATCTTTTTAGACTATTTGTTTTCCACAAATATCTAACGGTATTATTTCTTGTCTAGGTGGGAACAGTGGACTGGGATCAGAATTCTGGAGAAAACAATGTTGAAAATGGAAATATTGGTAGCGTATCTGATACTCTCGGCACTGACAAAGATTCTCCAAGTTCTGAGATGGTTACTCCAGAAACCGAACTTAAAAATGATGAAAAGAGAACTGAGGTCAGTGATGACTTGAATGTCGCTGCTGATGGTGAAAACGTAATGATGGCGCCTTTTGGTATTCCTTGCATGGTAGAGATTTTTCATTTCTTGTGTACCCTGTTGAATGTTGGAGAAAACGGTGAAGTCAATTCCAGATCCAACCCTATAGCATTTGATGAAGACGTTCCTCTTTTCGCTCTGGGTTTAATTAACTCTGCTATTGAACTTGGAGGGCCTTCTTTCCGTGAGCATCCAAAGTTGTTGGCTTTGATTCAGGATGAGCTATTTTGTAACTTGATGCAGTTTGGTATGTCGATGAGCCCTCTGATTCTTTCTACAGTCTGCAGCATCGTTCTAAATCTCTACCTGAGTCTCCGTACTGAGCTCAAGGTACAGCTTGAAGCTTTCTTTTCATGTGTACTTCTGAGGATTGCACAGAGCAAACATGGCTCTTCTTACCAGCAACAGGAGGTTGCTATGGAGGCTCTGGTTGATCTTTGCAGACAACATACTTTCATGGCTGAAGTGTTTGCGAATTTCGATTGTGATATAACCTGCAGTAATGTTTTCGAGGATGTTTCAAACCTGCTATCAAAGAGTGCATTCCCAGTTAATGGGCCTTTATCCGCTATGCATATACTTGCACTGGATGGGTTAATCTCCATGGTTCAGGGAATGGCTGAAAGGGTTGGTGAGGAATTGCCGGGTTCAGATGTTTCTACACATGAAGAAGGATATGAAGCATTCTGGACAGTGAGATGTGAGAACTACGGAGATCCTAATTCTTGGGTTCCTTTTGTCCGAAAGTCAAAGCACATAAAGAAAAAGCTGATGGTTGGAGCTGATCATTTCAACAGTGATCCTAAAAAAGGCCTGCAGCAACTCCAGGCGATGCACTTGTTGCCTGAGGAACTTGATCCAAAGAGTGTGGCATGTTTCTTCAGGTATACATGTGGTGTAGACAAGAATCTTATAGGAGATTTTCTGGGAAATCATGACCAGTTCTGTGTTCAGGTGCTTCATGAGTTTGCCAAGACGTTTGACTTCCAGAACATGAATCTTGATACCGCCCTGCGTCTTTTTGTGGGTACTTTTAGATTGCCTGGCGAGTCACAGAAGATACAGAGGGTGCTCGAGGCGTTTTCTGAGAGATACTATGAGCAGTCACCTCAGATACTGATTGATAAAGATGCTGCCCTCTTGTTATCTTATTCGATAATCTTGCTGAACACAGATCACCACAATACGCAGGTCAAGAAAAAGATGACCGAAGAAGACTTCATACGTAACAACAGGTGCATAAATGGAGGAGCAGACCTTCCTAGAGAGTACTTATCTGAGCTGTATCATTCGATCTGCGACAGTGAGATTCAGATGATCCCAGATCAGGGAACTGGCTTCCAAATGATGACATCCAGTCGTTGGATTAGTGTGATTTACAAATCCAAAGAAACCAGTCCTTATATCCTATGTGACACTGCATCCCATCTCGACCATGACATGTTTTATATCGTGTTCGGTCCCACTATTGCAGCTACATCAGTGGTTTTTGAGCAAGCAGAGCAAGAAGATGTTTTACAGAGATGTATTGATGGGTTATTGGCAATTGCTAAACTTTCAGCATATTATCATCTGAATAGTGTTTTGGACGATCTAGTCGTGTCTCTCTGCAAATTCACACCTTTCTTTGCCCACTTATCTGCCGACGAAGCTGTTCTTGCTTTAGGAGAAGATGCCAGAGCAAGAATGGCTACTGAAGCTGTTTTCTTGATTGCAAATAAATACGGTGACTATATCAGTGCGGGCTGGAAAAATATACTGGAATGTGTCTTGAGCCTCCAGAAACTCCAGATTTTACCAGCTCATATAGCTAGTGATGCAGCGGATGATCCGGAGCCATCAACTAGTAACTTGGAGCAAGAAAGACCTTCAGCAAATCCCGTGTCAGTAGTGTCACAGGTACAACCCTCAGCGACGCCTCGGAAATCATCTAGTTTTATTGGTCGGTTTAGCCAGCTTTTGTCATTCGATATGGAGGAGACAAAGCCATTACCAACCGAGGAAGAACTTGCAGCTTATAAACACGCTCGTGGGATAGTGAAAGACTGTCACATTGATAGCATATTCTCAGACAGCAAGTTTCTTCAAGCTGAGTCTCTGCAACAGCTAGTAAACTCCTTAATAAAGACTGCCGAGAAAGATGAAGCTAGTGCGGTCTTTTGCCTGGAGCTTCTGATTGCAGTAACTCTGAACAACCGTGACAGAATCCTACTGATCTGGCAAACTGTTTACGAGCATATCTCGGGTATAGTCCAATCAACGTCAACACCATGCCCGCTTGTTGAAAAGGCTGTTTTTGGTGTCTTGAAGATTTGTCAGAGATTATTGCCTTACAAGGAAAACCTAACAGATGAGCTTCTGAAATCACTCCAACTGGTTCTCAAGCTTGATGCAAGAGTGGCTGATGCATACTGTGAACCCATCACACAAGAAGTCGCGCGTCTTGTTAAAGCAAATGCATCTCACGTTAGATCTCATGTTGGTTGGCGAACGATCATATCTCTGTTATCAATCACAGCTCGGCATCCAGAAGCTTCAGATGCTGGATTCGAAGCTCTCCGGTTTATAATGTCAGAAGGAGCTCACTTGTTACCATCAAACTACGTCCTCTGTTTGGATGCAGCTAGGCAGTTTGCTGAATCTCGAGTCGGCGAAATCGATCGGTCTATCTTAGCCATCGACTTAATGTCGAACTCTGTGTTCTGTCTCGCAAGATGGTCTCAAGAGGCGAAAAACTCGGTCGGAGAAGAAGATGAAGCTATGATGAAACTAAGCCAAGATATTGGAGAAATGTGGCTTAGACTTGTGAACAACCTGAAACGAGTTTGTCTTGACCAACGCGACCAAGTGAGAAACCACTCCATCTTAATGCTGCAAAGATCCATAGCCGGTGCAGATGGGATCATGTTGCCGCAACCTCTATGGTTCCAGTGCTTTGATTCCGCAATCTTCCCATTACTAGACGAATTGCTCAACGTTTCAATCGAGAATTCGAGGAAGACTTTCAAGAAAACAGTCGAAGAAACGCTCGTGCTCGCCACAAAGCTCATGTCGAAAGCTTTTCTTCAATCTCTCCAAGACATCTCGCAGCAACCTTCCTTCTGCAGAGTCTGGGTTGGTGTGTTGAACCGTATGGAGACTTACATGTCAACAAAGTTCAGAGGAAAACGCAGCGAGAAGATCCATGAACTCGTACCGGAACTGCTCAAGAACACGCTGCTGGTGATGAAGACGACGGGGGTTTTATTACCAGGTGACGATATTGGGAGTGATAGTTTCTGGCAACTTACTTGGCTTCATGTTAACAAGATTTCTCCTTCTCTGCAATCTGAAGTTTTCCCTCAAGAGGAGCTTGATCAGTTTCAGAGACGAAACGCGAAGCTTGAGGAAAACGCAAAGCCTGAGACAGTGGTGGAATAGAGATGATGAATTTGTTCTATACAGAAGGAAAAGCATATTGAAGGAGTTTTTAGAAAACTATTATATCGAAATATTTTTTTGCAGTATAGTTTTTTGTTTTGAATATAGGGAAGATTATATAATACTGTACTTTGGAGTTTGGAGTTTGGAGCTTTTGGTTTTTACTTTTTTTTTTTATGGAAGAATGTCACGTTGAAATTGTGGCTTTGATTCAGGGGCTGGTCAATATTTAGGGGCTCTTGGGCCAAAAAAATAAATTATTAGCTAATTTTTCTTAAATATGAATTTTAAAATATTGTTAAAAATGATAATCCGAAATTTTTAAAATAATTATTAGCTAATTTTTCTTATATATGAATTTTAAAATATTATTTAAAAATAAAATATGAAATTTTAAACTAACTATTACCTGTTGTGAAAACTTATAAACTTTATTAATCACTGGAATGTATATAGAGTACATAGGGAATCTAGGTTAAGTACAATGTTCTGATGGGCCTAATGGGCCGGTATAAGAGTCCATATATGATATGTGTTATAACACTCCCCCTTGGACGAGTGAACCGGGTCAGCTACTCAATCGGGATCTCGATAATGCGCTGGGGAATGTTGCCTCATTAAAACCTTACCAGGAAAAACCCAGTGGGACAAAACCATGGTGAAGGAAAAAGAGTACAACACGCATTACTCCCCCTGATTGTAGCATCACTGCAGATCTCTAAGTCTATACATTCTTATCTGTTTGACGAGCTTCCGGTGTGTTGAAGTAGGCAATGATTTGGTGAAGAGGTCAGCTGAATTCTCACTGGATCGGACCTGCTGAACGCTGAGAGTGCCGTCCTTCTGCCAGTCTGAGGTTGAGAAGAACTTCGGTAGAATGTGCTTCGTCCGATCTCCTTTGATATATCCTTCCTTGAGCTGAGCTATGCATGCCGCGTTGTCTTCATACACCACCGTGGGCTGTGTGTCTTCGTCCATACCACAATCTCTGCGGATGTGCTGAGTCATGGAGCGCAGCCAGACGCATTCCCTACTAGCCTCATGAATGGCTAGGATTTCAGCATGGTTTGATGAAGTGGCAGTGAGTGTCTGCTTCATTGATCTCCAAGAGATGGCTGTTCCTCCATGCGTAAAAACGTAGCCAGTTTGAGACTTGGCAGTGTGCGGATCTGATAGATATCCTGCATCGGCGAAGCCGACTAACCCATCTTTATTTTGGTTAGTATAGAAGAGTCCTAAGTCTTGAGTACCTCGAAGGTATCTTAGGAGATGTTTTATACCGTTCCAGTGCCTCTGAGTTGGAGATGAACTATATCGAGCGAGGAAGTTCACGGCGAAACATATGTCTAGTCTAGTGTGACTAGCCAGGTACATTAACGCTCCTACACCACTGAGGTATGGCTTTTCAGGACCAAGGATTTCTTCATCATCCTTTTTGGGACCAAGAGGGTCATCACTTAAGCTTCTAACTACCATTGGGCTGGTCAATGGGTGAGCTTGGTCCATATTAAATCGCTTGAGTACCTTTTCGATATAAGCCGATTGATGTACAAGGATTCCTCCTTTGATGTACTCAAGTTGTAATCCCAAACAGTACTTTGTTTTGCCTAGGTCTTTCATTTCGAATTCTGCTTTTAAGCAGTCGACTGTTTGGTAGATCTCACCAGATGTTCCGAGGATGTTTAGATCATCCACGTATACTGCTATGATTACAAATCCTTTGTTTGAGTACTTCTTGATGAAGATGCATGGACTGATGGGGTCATTTTTGTAGCCTTCTTTGATGAGGTAATCGCTGAGGCGGTTGTACCACATACGCCCACTTTGTTTCAGTCCATACAAGGATTTGTTCAGCCTGATGCAGTATTGATCTCGAGATGCATTTTTGTCTTTTAGTTCAATGCCATCTGGGAGTCTCATATATATTTCGTTGTCCAGGGGCCCATAGAGATATGCGGTTACAACATCCATTAACCGCAGATCAAGATTTTCTCTTATGGCCAAACTTATGAGGAATCAGAATGTTGTTGCATCCACCACTGGAGAATAAGTCTCCTCATAATCGATTCCGGGTCTCTGTGAGAATCCTTGTGCTACAAGCCGTGCTTTGTATCGAACGACTTCACCGAGTTCGTTCCTTTTGCGCACAAAGACCCATTTGTGGCCCACTGGCTTGATGTGTGATGGGGTCCGGATGATCGGACCGAACACGTTTCTGAGTTTGAGACTCTTTAACTCCACGTTTATGGCTTCTTTCCATTTTAGCCAATCTGTTCGATGTGTACACTGTGTTATTGACGTGGGTTCTAGATCCTCTTGCGTGAGCGCAACATCAAGTGCTACTTTGTATGCAAAGAGTGCATTTAAGTCGACTTCTTTTCGATTCCATTGTATTCCGGACATATTTTAATTGATGGAGATCTCATTGTTATCTTCTGAACCTGGAGATTCGGCGTCCCGAACTTCCATTGAGGGTTCATTAGATTGAGTCTCAGCCACGGCTATGTCTGATATTGCAGGAATCCCGGTTTCGGTTATTGCACCTTTCTTTGATTTCCGAGGATTCTTATCTTTGGAACCGAGAGGTCTGCCCCGTTTGAGACGTGGTGCAGACTCTGTAGCAACTTGGGTCTGTCCCGTTGGGACAGCTATTCGTACTGGTGCATTACAAGCTGGGATGTACGATTTGGTTACTTTGGTCGGGTCAGCAAAGGAATCTGGCAATTGATTAGCTAGCTTTTGATAATGAATAATCTTTTGGATCTCTGAATCACATTCTAGAGTCCGAGGATCTTGCCAATTTAATGATGTTTGATTCCATGAAAGATCTTTGACCAGCTTGTTTGTCTCACCACCTAAAGAGGGATATACCGATTCATCGAATTGGCAATCCGCATATCTGGCCTTGAAGAGATCTCCAGTGGTTGGCTCGAGATATCTTATGATGGTGGTTGAGTCAAAACCAACATATATTCCCATCCTTCTTTGAGGTCCCATTTTGGTTCGATGTGGTGGAGCAATGGGTACATATACTGAACACCCAAATGTTTTGAGATGGGAGATGTCTGGCTCATGACCCGAGAGTAGTTGGGATGGGGAATATTTGTGTTCACTAGATGGCCGGATGCGTATGAGTTCAGCAGCATGTAATACTGCATGTCCCCATGCTGAGGCCGGGAGCTTTGATCTCATGAGTAATGGTCGGGCTATCCATTGAATGCGTTTAATGAATGATTCAGCCAATCTATTTTGAGTATGGACATGTGGTACAGGATGTTCCACGGTTACCCCCATGGCCATACAGTAGTCATTAAACGCTTGTGAGGTAAATTCACCAGCATTGTCAAGGCGGATAGTCTTTAGTGGGAAGTCAGGGAAATGGGCCCGCAATTTTATGATTTGGGCCAAGAACCTAGCGAAGGCTTGGTTCCGAGAGGACAAGAGACAAACATATGACCAACGGGTCGATGCGTCTATAAGGACCATGAAGTACCGGAATGGTCCGGAAGATGGATGTATAGGTTCACAGATATCGCCCTGGATTCTTTCTAGGAAATGAAGTGTTTGTTTAGAGATTTTAACTGGTGAAGGCCGAGTGATCAATTTGCCTTGAGAACAAGCTGTGCACATGAGGTGTTGAGGATAAGCTCGGTTTTCTTTGAGGGTATGCCCTTGAGAGTTTTGAATTAGTTTACGCATCATATTTGCACCGGGATGACCGAGCCGGTCGTGCCAAATAGTATAATCAGTAAACCGGGCTTTGAGAGTGGTATTAGCTTCAATCATACTGACTTTAGCATGGTAAAGTCCAGTAGAGAGCGCGGGTATGGTTTCGAGGATTTGTTTATGGCCGTCTACGGTTTTAGTGACTAGGAGGGATTCTTTGTTCCCTTGACCTTGGGTTTCTATGTGGAAACCATTCTGTCTTATATCCTTGAAGCTCAGAAGATTTCTCTTCGAACTAGGAGAATATAGAGCATCTGGTATTTCAAGTTGTGTGCCATTTGATAGCAACACATAGGCATGGCCATATCCTTCGATAAGGTTTGAGAGACCCGCGATGGTGCTAATATTTGCGGTTTGATAGGTTAGGTTTATGAAGTAACTTTTGTTTCTTAAGATAGTGTGGCTGGATCCACTATCTACGACTATGGTTTCCAAATGCTGGTGTGCTTTATTATGAATAGAAGATAGAATTCAGTATTGAGGAATTCAGAAAATGTGATAAATCATAAAGTAAAGCAGTGTCCGAGAATAAAGGCAAATGGAAAAAAAAAGGAAACAAATCCCAAAATGAAAAAAAATAAAGAACAAAATCAAATTGTATCAGAGTTTCAGATGATTGAATTAATCGAGGAGATCAGCTGTTTCATAGTCCATGGGGTCGGTCTGCTCGTTTGTGGTGTTCTCATCATCAAGGAGGTCGTCACCTTCCAGGTTAGCAGCATCGACTGGCTGAGTCATGTTGGCTTCAGCAGGAGCTTTTCCGTACTTCTGGTATAGATCGCAGTGGATCTTGGGGGTGCGACATTGCTTTGTTGGGTGGTTGAACATCCCACATCTGGTACAAGCAGAGTGATCGGGGTTGGTGTGGCGGGTCGGCTTGGTGATGCCTCGACCACGACCAGGACCATAACTGAGGTTAGGTCGGTTGCCACGACCATGTCCGCGTCCACGTCTTCCACGTCCATGTCCTCGGCCATTACCACGTCCATTACCACGTCCACGGCGGTGATCTGAGGATCTATCGGGTTGAACATGGTAGGACTCTTGACGAGAAGCTGGGACAGGAGCCGATCCCGGGGGCCTCATAGCGCTGTTCCTCATAAGCAGCTGGTTATTCTTCTCAGCGAGGAGAAGACAGGACAACAAGTCTTCGTACAATGTGTGTTTCATTGCACGGTATTGTTGTTGGAGCACAACATTCTCTGTGCTGAATGTGGATAATGTTTTCTCGAGGAGATCATTATCTGTCACATCCTCGCCACAGAGTTTCCGGATGGCAACAATACGAAAGAGTTCGTTGTTGTAATCATCTACGGATTTGTAGTCCTGGAACCGAAGGTTTTTCCAGTCGAAATCTGCCTGAGGCAACTGGACCATTTTCTGATGGTCATATCGCTTTTTCAGCGCTTGCCACAATTCAAGTGGATTCTCAAGAGTGAGATATTGCTGCTTAAGGCTCGGGGCCAGATGATGGCGTATGTGACATATCGCCTGAGACTGTCCCTTACGGGATGCGGTGTTACCGTCGGTAATACACGCATCGAGTTCTTTCGATGCAAGGAACAAGCGCATGTCTAGGGCCCACTCGAGGTAGTTATCCCCGGAGACGTGAAGGGCCTTGAATTCACATTTCTGAATGTTTGACATCTGAAACATGAGATTGATTTTGTTAGGGATTGTTTTGAGAAAATTTTGAATGCTGATGATGAAACTTTCTATTTTGAGAATATTTCTATTTTAGGAAAGTTTCTAAATTTGGAAAGTTTCTAATTTGGGTAATTTTCAAATGAGGAAAGTTTCTATGTCGGGAAAATTTCTATATGAGGAAAGTTTTTATATGAGGAAACTTTCTATTAGAGGGAACTTTCTCGGAAATAGTAAATTTTAAAGGGTATGGTTTTAGTTACCCCGAACATGATGTCGGTTTAATAGCTGTGATTTAATCGGTTAAAGCCGAATATAATTTCGGTTAATGAGAACCAGGTTTAGCCGGTTTTAGGCGGTTTAGGAGGAATCCTAGGGGAGCCGAATATGATTAGGGTTTTATCTAGGGTTTTAACGGTTTGGAAAACATATTTTGGATGTGATTTCGAGATCTATAGGATCTGTGGTCGATGGTTTTAATAATTTCACAAGGACAACAAAGAAATCACGTGAAAAGGACTAGGGTTTAAGCATTATGACTTACGATTTTGAAAATTACAAAATCGTGAATCAAGCTTAGGATTTAGAGTTGATTTTCTTAGTTTATTCAATCAAGAGAATCAACAATCAAATAAGCTGCAACAAGCTTATTAAACATGAAGAAAATCGAATAGGTTTATGCCATAAACATGGCCAAAAACGGTTGTTAGGTTTTTGTAGATTAGGGTTTTATAAAACGAGTTTAAAACCTTTGAACATGCATAAACTTGTAATTTAAACAATCAATCAATAAGTTATCAATCAATCATCAGAGTATCAAACACTTTCAATCAATTAGAGATCGATTTTTTTTTTTTTTTTTTTTTTATAGGGTTTTGAAGTGTTTAAACAACAGGTTCTATGGCTCTCAGTTTTAGAAGATACCTTTTCCACCTTTGGATTTCTGACAGGCTAATGAAACTGGGAGCTAATAGACCTCAGTTAGCCGCTACAAATTCCAAGGATTGATCACCAAAACTGGAGAAGCTGCTGGTTGAAGAAGGAAAAACTCGGATCTGGTTTTTTTTTTTTTTTTTTTTTCGGTTGATCGTCGTGTACTGTAAGTGTGCGTGAGGGCGCGTCCGACGTTGGATCGACAAACGGTTTTCACCAGTAGATTCGTCTCGTCGAGGGCTTCGATTTGATATGTAGATCGTCTTCTGGTTCCTCACGGTTTGGAAGATATGCGTCTTTTAAGTTTCGACTTGCTTTTAGGGTTTTGGTGGTGACTGGATTTATTAGGGTTTTTCGTTCAGAGAGTCTTATCGTGCTGATAACGTGTTGTGAAAACTTATAAACTTTATTAATCACTGGAATGTATATATAGAGTACATAGGGAATCTAGGTTAAGTACAATGTCCTGATGGGTCTAATGGGCCGGTATAAGAGTCTATGATATGTGTTATACCTAATTTTTCTTTTTTAAAAAATCTTTGTTTTACTCATCTAACCATTTTAGTATTTTACTCTTAACCACATTTTGTATAACCGGCGTAATTATAAGACAGCTTGGCTAAAAGATAATAAAATGATTATCAAAGTGGTGGTATACCAAAGAAACGGTGTTTGTCGCTGTAGGATATAATTCCTTAAAACATTGAACATATTCCGACCGTCCCACGTATACGCATCCATCAAATTCAATTCATCGTTGTCTTCCTGAATTTTCTTCCCGATCAATTTCCTCCGATCTATTTTCCGATACCGACGTCGTAACTCTTCTCCTCCGTTCGTTTCTCAGGTCTCGTCTCAATTTCTTTATTTTTTTCGCCTAATCCCTCTCTTCTGTGATTGTGATTTTTACTTTCTAGTTTCGGTATCTACATTCCTAATTATGTGCTTTAATCGCTTAATTGCTTCGGCGAACTCTTCGATCACATGAATCTCTTCAATTATTCTCGCTTGAGATCGGTGAATTTCACTTTTCTGGCTTCTCTTTTCTCATTTTTCCCACATAAACCTCGTGTTTACATGCTTTTCCTGTATCGCGATCTAGTTCAGAATATACAATATATTTAGGGTTTTGGATTGTCTGATAGATCAATCATCGATAATAGTTTTCGAATCTCTGAAAAAATTGCAGTACCTAGTCTTGTTGATGGTCTACGGAAGAATTGGATTTCATATATTTTTTGTTCATCATCATTGTGTTTTGCTGATTCTGCAGGATTCTTTTTTAGTATTCCCTTGGAAAAATGAGTGAGGTGTTTAACGGATACGAGCGGCAATATTGCGAGCTCTCGGCGAATCTTTCAAAGAAGTGTTCCTCAGCTGTTGCTCTTGATGGAGGTAAATTGATTATCTTTTCTCTACTCAGGCATTGCCTTAGAGCTTTCTTAGAGATCGTAGACGAAAACAAAATTTTATCTTGTGAATGTAACAATGAACAAATTAGAGATATTTTGGTTGGTGTTTGATGCCGAGTACTTTGCGGTTTTAGATCCTTTAGTTACTACAATTCTCTTGTCTCTTTCATGCGTTGTAAGGACATAACATTTGTGCTTTCTTTGGTCACTGATTGAGAAGAGAGCTTGTCATTAGCAAGTGTAGATCATCATCCTTATTCTGTTGTTTGCATATCAGAATTGTTGATACTTTTGCTGGTTTACAGAACAAAAGAAGCAGAAGCTCTCAGAAATAAAATCTGGACTGGAAAATGCCGAAGTTTTGGTATGTGATAGGCTTAGATCGAATCGAACATAGCGTTTTTCTTCATTTTTGACGATGCTCTGTCCTTTGATCAACCAGATTAGGAAAATGGATCTTGAGGCGAGGAGCCTTCCACCAAATGTCAAGTCTAGCCTGCTTGTCAAACTAAGAGAATTCAAGTCTGATCTGAACAATTTCAAAAGCGAAGTGAAGAGAATCACGTCTGCAAACTTGAACGCTGCTGCTCGAGATGAGTTGCTTGAAGCTGGTATGGCTGATACAAAGACGGTATGTAAAAGACTCAGTAGTATTTTGCTCAATTTAATCTCATCTCGAAACTTCTTTCGATTGATACGCCCATTTTGAGGTCAGGCTTCAGCTGATCAAAGATCAAGATTGATGATGTCAACGGAACGTTTGGGTCGAACCACGGACAGAGTCAAGGACAGTCGTAGAACAATGATGGAGACTGAAGAGATTGGTGTTTCAATCCTCCAAGACTTGCACAGTCAGAGACAATCTCTCCTACGAGCCGGGGACACGGTACCTTCTCTTATTCCAGATTTTAACTAGATAAGATGAGAATATAGGGCTCTTTCATGAAGAGGAAAAACGTTTTCTTTATTGCTTTAACCAATATTTTTAGAACTCTGTTAACAGCTTAGTGGAGTAGACGATAACGTTGGAAAGAGCAAGAAAATCTTGGCAGGCATGACGAGGAGGATGAACAAGAACAAATGGACCATTGGAGCCATTATCACCGCTTTGGTCTTGGCCATTATCATCATCTTGTACTTCAAACTCACCTAGTAAGCCTCTGTATCTAAAACCCGACCAAAATCTCTGTTACTTAACAATTGGTGTGTTCGGTTGTGAATCTTTGATCTATCCCTTTTTTCTCAATTCATCTTTCTGTGTGAAAAGTTATGTCTTTGCCACCTTTTTAAAATCTCGATTGTTTGTTTTCGTTTGCGTTAAGAAATTACATACATTTCGAACGATTTGTCTACATTTGATCCAGAGCTGGTTAAACATTGAGATTAAGACCTAGTTTTGTTTCTCTCGTTCTTGAACCTGCTATAGTCAGCGAGCAAGCTCTCAATAACCTTATGCTTCATGTTATCTACCAAACCGGTCAAAACCTGTAGAAAGCCAATCGAAACCAAAAGATCAAGAATAAACCAGAAACATGGCGTCTCTAAGTTCGCAAACGCATATCTATGAAACAGTTTCTAACCGCATTGGCTACGTTTCTACTAACATCCTCGGGTACAAGCGCAAGAACCGAAGGAAGAACAAAGCTTATGTTCATCTCTAGTCGACCTTTGAGCCTTGTGTGCCTCCCACCTCGGTCTGGATACAATGCTCCTCTGACTCCGAGAGTGAAATCAGACGGTTCCATTACCCGGTCAAGCCCTTGAAGCTCCCATTTGATCTGAAAACCGGAGTTTCAAAAGCATAGACCGTTAAAGAAACAAGAGAGAAACACAATAAATTTTTCATTTTGCCAATCTTGTTGCGCATAATATTACCATGTTGAGCTCAAGAACTTTGGTTATGTCTAGAGGTATGTCCGACGGGTAATCTCGACCGTTGGATTTGCATCGAATCCTCATGTCCACTACTGGCCTCGCAGTGAGGAAGAGGAAATTGATTGGTGACATTTGTATTCTCCATTCCTCCTGCAAAAATAATTTCATCAGAAGTTAAAAAGAAAAAATTGAATACAAAAATGATATAAAGAAAATAGAATTTAAAATAGAATAGTACCTCGTTAAGCCTATGACTTTTAGGTTTATCCGGAAACATTGCTTCGAAAACTCTCGGTTTCTCTTCCAAATACTCATCAAACAACGCCTGAAAATTCCCAAAAAAAGCATTAAAATACCCAAATATACACTGATAGTGATAGCTTATATACATACCATTTTAGAATGAAAGAGAAAAGTACCTGAGGAGACTCGTGCAACTGAACATCTGTAGAGATTCTAGATGAATACTTGGAGGGTTTTACAGGTGACAACTGACACTTCACTTTCCACCGTCTTGATCTCAGCTCGGTGGCCATCGTCGGGCATCTTCTGAACATCGCCGGAGACGATAAAACCGTTGAGCTTACAGCCATTTCTCCAATCTCTCTATCTTTGTTATTTGCATAGGAAAGGTTGCTTTTATTCTCTCTAATACGTTTTGAGACTTTTGCAAAAATAGAGAGGCCAGGCAGATAGTTATATTGTCACGGTAGAGATTGGAAGGTAGTGGAATATTAAGAAATTTTTGTTGAAACATTCCTTCCAAGTTTTATCTTCTATAGTAACCGGTATACATTCGGTTTTTTCAGTTCGGTTAGGTTTCAGATTTAGATTTCTTTCCCTGGTTTTGTAAGAAATAAGTCCGATTTAAAACTGAAAATAATTTGGTTTGGTTCGGTTTGGTTCGGTTTAGGGTTAATCAAAGAGGTCACCGAACTGATACAAAAAAAATTGGTTTACTTCGGCTTGTAATGAAGAGGTTGTATTGTAAGACACGTCTTCTCTCACGCAATTTGTTGATGAGACTGACACGAGAATATTGAATGTTGAGATTCTTGAGAAGAAGTTGTATACAAACTAAACATTTTGACGGTGGCAAAACTTCTATCTCACGCAGAGGTTTTGAGGAAATGTAAGTAACTTTTTGTTGGAAATTTAAGTACTTATCCGAAACAAAACTGTACAAAACAAAAACTCTTGTTGTATAAGTTGACCAAAAAAATTACACTGAGACTTTATAATCGATTGTTCGTTCATGTGGGACTGAGAAACTATACATGGTTGAACATTGACATTAAAACTCGGATTTAGTCGATAACCTCTGCAATTTTCTCTCATTCTTGAATCTGTTATAATCAGCGAGCAAGCTCCCATTAACCTTATGCTTCATATTATCCACTAAACCGGTCAAAACCTACAAAAGGTTCAAATCAATTACAGAGAAATCGCGTATTATTTGAGTCCAAAGATAGTCAAATAAAATTGTCGTACCGCATTGGCCAAGTTTCTCCTAACATCTTCAGGCACCAATTCAAGAACCGGAGGAAGAACAAAACTTATGTTCATTTCTAGTTGACCTCTAAGCCTTGTGTGTTTTCCTCTTCGGTCCGGGTACAATGCACCTTTGACTCCCAAACTGAAATCAGACGGTTCCATTACTCGGTTAAGCCCTTTAAGCTCCCATCTCGTCTGCAAAAGAAAACGGTAATTTCAAAATAGCTAAATAAGTTTCAACAATGGGGAAGCTGAAAGAAACAAAGAGAGACATGTGTTGTTTGATCCCACTTATTTACCATGTTGAGCTCAACAACTTTGGTTATATCTAAAGGAACATCTGGAGGATAATCCTGACCGTTGGATTTGCATCTTAACCTCATATCGACCACAGGCCACACAGTGAGGAAGAGGAAGTTTATTGGTAACATCTGAATTCTCCACTCTTCCTGCACAAATTCAATTCACCGGAAGTAAAACTAAGTGTATAGATAGAAAAAGACAAAAAAATAATAATTCACAAAAGAGGGGCATTCCGAGAATTGAACTCGGGACCTCTCGCACCCTAAGCGAGAATCATACCACTAGACCAAATGCCCATTTTGAAACATTTCTTCTTTCATATAAAATTATCATTAGAAATGTTATTAGTTGAAGAAGGATTATAATTAATTACCTCGTTAAGCCTATTGCTTCTGGGTTTATCAGGAAACATTGCTTCGAAAACTCTCGATTTATCCTCCAAATACTCATCGAACAACGCCTGAGAATTCCCAAAAATACATCAAAATAGAATTGATTTTACACAAATTTCACACTGCTTCTTGTTATAGAGAGAGAAGGGGACCTGAGGAGACTCGTGCAGAGGAATATCTGTGGAGATTCTGGAGGAATACGTGGCGGGTTTTACGGATGACACCTGACACTTCACTCTCCACCGTATAACTGATCTCAGCTCCGTCTTCTTCACCGGCCGGTAACTTCCGTACATCGCCGACGATAAAACCGCCATTTCACCAATTACTATCACTCCAAGTTTAGAACTTCGATTACTTCCACATCTCTTTCTCTAGACTTTTCGAGTAAAGTTTGCTTCTTGATTTCTCTCTGAAAGTTGAGACTTTGTAAAAAACTTAGATTTCTCCAGACGAAACAGAGAGTAAAGTTGTTTCGGTAGAGGGATTTGGAAAGATAAGGGATATCGAACTTTCGGCCTTCTATTTACACGTGGCATATTATGATCCTATCCATGTCATCAAGATTTAGAACCTGTAGGGCCCCCTCTGCTTTTCTCCTTACACCCTCGCATTCGTGGCAGAGAATGACACGAGAATCTCAAAAGACAAATAACTTGAAAAGAAACAAAAAGTTGTGTTCTGATGAAAACTCTGCCTGAGACAGAGGTGTCTACAAAGACCTATATCTTTCTTTAACAAAATAACAACCGATATTCCAATGTTGTTCTTTCGACCACTAATAATGTTACTACACAAATATTTAGATCCAATGAGCTACACACACAAAAAATATACCTTTTGAACTAGGAAGACGAACCCAAATTCCCAAAATTATGATGATCCTAATGAACTTCATTGGAAGAATATGATTTGAAATTAGGAGAACGTAGAGGAACAATATGATATTCCTCGAACATAGCTACAATTCGTAGTGGTGTAATTTGATCGTCGGATTGCTTGTTGATTAAAGCACACACAAAGAATCAAACGTAATATATATATATATATATATATGAATGATAAAATTGATTTTATGTGTTCCTTGGAATTCATTGAACTCAAGGACATGTTTGCGAAATTTCTCTATTTATCATTCAAGACAAAATGTGTTTCAGTTAAAAATATTAAAACAACAAAACAACAAGACAGAAAACACAAGACAATCTCACTTTTTTCTCTCATAACTCTCTTATTTTTTAAAAAGACAAACCATCACAAACTGCATTTAAAGCAAAGTAGTTTTAAGAAAAACATGTTTAAGAAGCCACAGATGAGGCGATGATGAATTAGATATCCCTCGTAGAGAAGCTGAAATGCGCCAAGGGATGTGACATCGATCCATTGTTTTTTTTCGATCTAAGTAGTTTGATATGTAAAATGTTTACATGGTTTTTGGTTGAATAATGAATGGTTTTTGGTTGAATAATGAATAACGAATTTTCCTTGGCAATCAACTCTCTCTATCTCGTTATTTAAGTTATATGTCCCAAATATTAATTTCTCTTTATGCACCCAATTTAAAATGGCTGTCATTGTCATCTTTTCTTGAGAGTATCTATTCAAAATAACAGACAAATTTTCTCTGCTGAACGACACAACATTCTCGTTCAAATATAGGCCTGCACAAAAAAAAACACAAACCTAACTTTGGAGGTATTAATCTAATAAAGCAGAATTAGAGAGTTTTTTTACCTTCAAGTGATTGTATTACTTTATCTATATACTTTTCCATTTTGTCCAAAGTGATCTTCTTTCCCTTCAAAAACTTTTCTATTAGTTCATCATGAGCTTTTTGTGCAACGTAAAAAAGAATATTTGAAATATAGTCTAGAGCTACAGTAAATAAAATAAATAAAAACAATTGTTGCAATTGTATCTTTAGAATGCTGTTTTAAAACACTTATTTCTTTGTAAACATTCCACGGAATCATTTTAAGAATTGTGCGTTTTAGCCCATGCTTCACACGCCATTACCAATATAGGATCATAAGAGCCTCGGCAAACTTTAACACTACAAAAGACAAAAAAACACACAAGTTTGTGAACAATAATGCACAAATTTTTTGTAGAAGATTTAGAACACTAAGCCAACAGACATCGATCCACTATTTTTTTTTTCAATCAACTCTCTCTCTCTCACTGTTTTAGTTACATGTCCCATATGTTAATTTCTCTCTATGCACCCAATTTAAAATGGCTGTTATTGCCAACTTTTCTTGAGAGTACCTATTCAAAATAACAAACAAATTTTCTCGGCTGAACAAGTTGAGAGTTTTTGTTTTACCTTCAAGTGATTGTACTCTTTATCTAGACTTTTCCATTTTGTCCAAGGTGGTCTTCTTCCCCTACAAGAACTTTTCTATTAGTTCATCATGAAACTTTTTTGCAACATAAAAAAGAGTATTTGAAATATAGTCTACAGCTACAAAAAAAACAAAAATCAGTTGTTGTAATTGTATCTTTTAGAATGATGTTTTTAAAACCAAAAATTTTTCTTTCTGATAGTCTAGTCGATTAATGGATTTAAAAATTTACCGACTTTGAAATATAAATTACATACATAATATTTTATAACAAATTCTAAAATTCAGTACTATATTAAATTCCAAACTAGCATTCAGATCATAACATTATATGTCTTATACCATACGAAAAAAATAACTGATACGGAAGAAAGCATATTCAAATCAACAAAAATAAAATTTTGACAAAAACTCAAATATCTGAGAAAAATAGGATCTCGAAGTTTTTAATATATAGAAGAAAATAGATAAATGAAAATTTGGGTTTGATCGAGTTGCATTCCAATGAATAAGAAAACACTATACAGTAGAGCTTCTATAAATTAATACTCGATAAATTAATAATCACTATAAATTAATAAATTTTGATGGTCCCAAGTCGGGCCAATGTAAAAATCCATCAAATTCGATAAGATAATAAGATAATAATTTTTTTTGAAACCCTTATGTAAATATATGGTCCCAACAAAAACATAAATTAATAATGATATAAATTTCTGAAAATATATATAAATTTAATATTCTAAAATATGACTAATGTGTTTGTTTTTAGTTAAAGTTAAAATCTCATTGGTTCTCATCTCTCTAATTATTATATCAGTAACTCTTATTGCGGTTTTACTATATATATTCAAAATTTATGATGATTTTTTGATGTGATAATTGATTTTCTTACATATAAATGTTTTTAAATGTATTGTAGTGTTATCTACAATTTTATCATCAATAATACTGATAGTAGCCATAGTTTTTTTTATAAATTTTATACTTATGAACATGTATATTTTTATATGGATAATCCAATATGGTGAAAACTATTTTATTGTGATAGTTATGATTTTTAATCATAATTTATATTATGATATTTGTTAAAATTTTAAAATATAACATTATTCCAAAATAATCTTTAGAAAATTATATGCAGAAAGCAATTTTTCTCTATTAATTAATAATTATTAATTTATAGATAAATTAATATCACGATAAATTAATAAAATATCATAGTCCCAACATTATTAATTTAAAGAGGTTTTACTGTATTACTATGAATCAGCACATTGGTTGGCTAAGAAGGTTTCTTTTGCTAATATCTTTTTGTTGATAAACTCTATCGGCTGATTCGGTCAGTTCCGATAGGAATGCAACGAAGTATTATAGAGTAGATTGATTATCCAGGTTCAACGAACACCATAAACTCCAAGCACATGCACTTGGGCCAACAAGTCAAGAGATCTATGAGATCCAGCGGGTTACCACACTGCATATCCCAAGTTTGAAATGCTTTCTGACTAATGTCAGGAATATCTAAATTGTTTGTTATTGACTATCATGTATACTGCTTGGATCTTAGGTTCAAATCCAGATTTTAGGGGTGGGCGCGGAGCGGATATCCTGGATTTTAGGGATATCCGTGATCCGCTCCGCCCTGATAATCACTTTTTCGATCTGTATCCGCTCCGTAATTATCTGGATATCCATTTTCCGGATATCCGCCAAAAATCTGAATATTTGTCGGATATCCGATCCGCCCCATAAAAATATTTAAATAATAAAATATTTAAAATAAAAATTCAAAAATTCAAAATTTAGTTTAAAATGACAATATTTTCTTTAAAAAATATTTTTTTCTTAACCTATTAAGTTTTAATATTTATAATAATCAAATTTATAAAAAAAAATTCACAAAAATTACATTTATATATAATAATTATATACTTTATATGAATTATTATCTATATATATATATTTATATCGGAGCGGATATCTGTCTTAATTTTTTTTTAGTATTTGTGATTTGCTTCGTTTTTAACGGATATTGAATTTTAGTATTTGCTTTGCTCCATAAAATTACGGATATCCAGATTTTTCGGATCGATTCGAGACGAATAGCGGATCGAAGCAAATGTAACGGATATTTTGCCCAGCCCTACCAGATTTCCCACACAAACTGCTAATACTTTCTATACCAGTTGTATTAATTCGCTCTCATGGTTATCTCCTTATTTGCATAACGACTATCTGACTTCAAATCTCCCTTATTGATGCAATATTTGTTTGAAAGAAAATATCAAAATTTGGATTTTTCTTTTCTTTTCTTTTGTTGAGTTTTAAGCATTTCAAGTGTAAATGGTTCAGAGCTTGACTACAGAACCGGTACTTTCTCATCCGTGGAATCACATATTCAAATCTGTCGGTAGAAGAATCGAATTATGGATTCCGGTTCGACCAGTCGGCAATCGGTACGATCAGATTGTTTAACCAATTAAGACAAAGCCACGTGGCAAAATCTTACCCGCGTCGTAGACTCGTAGTGCTCGCCATGTAAACAGCAGATTAATGGAGCCCACGTAATTAAATTAAAAAAACGCCGCGTTTTATACCCTTCGTCTCCTTCCTCCTTAAAAAATTCCATTTTCGTCATTATTGTGAGATCCAAGAGAAAAGGAGAGAAAATCACAGATCAGAGAGAACCTTTTTGAAAAAAAAAAACGATGCCGTACTACACCAGAGAAGAGGATGAAGTCGACGATTTCGACGAGTTCGATCCAACGCCGTACAGCGGTGGCTACGACATCACCGTGATCTACGGCCGTCCGATCCCACCTTCCGATGAGACTTGTTACCCTCTCTCTTCTGGAGTCGATGACGATTTCGAATACGAGAGACCTGAATTCACCTCGATCCATGATCCATCTGCCTACGCCGAAGAAGCTCTTCAGACCGAGTACAGTAGCTACTCTCGACCCAAGCCCCGACCCGCATTTCGACCCGATTCGGCCGGAGGCGGTCACGTGCAAGGCGAAAGACCTAACCCTGGTTACGGATCTGAATCCGGTTATGGCCGGAAACCGGAATCGGAGTACGGATCCGGGTACGGTGGTCAGACGGAGACCGAATACGGTAGGAGACCTGAGTCGGGATACGGTGGGGAAACGGAGACGGAGTATGGTCGGAGACCTGAGCAGGGTTACGGATCTGGCTATGGTGGTCGAACGGAGGCTGAATCGGAGTATGGATCTGGTGGACGAACCGAGGTTGAGTATGGTCGGAGACCTGAATCTGGGTATGGTGGGGGATCTGAGACCGGGTATGGATCCGGGTATGAAAAGAAACCGAGTTTCGGTGAAGAGAGGAGCGAGTATGAGCGTAAGCCTAGCTATGGAAGATCTGAGGAACAAGAAGAAGGTTACAGGAAGCCTAGCTATGGAAGATCTGAGGAGCAGGTTGAAAGTTACATTAAGCCTAGCTATGGAAGATCTGAGGAACAGGAGGAAGAAGGTTACAGGAAGCCGAGTTATGGACGATCTGAGGAAGAAGAAGAAGGTTACAGGAAGCCTAGCTATGGAAGATCTGAGGAGGAAGAAGGTTACAGGAAGCCTAGTTATGGAAGATCTGAGGAAGAAGAAGAAGGTTACAGGAAGCCTAGCTATGGAAGATCTGAGGAGCAGGAGGAAGGAAGTTACAGGAAGCCTAGCTATGGAAGGTCTGAGGAGCAGGTAGAGAGTTACATAAGGCCCAGCTATGGAAGATCTGAGGAACAGGAGGAAGAAGGTTACAGGAAGCCAAGCTATGGAAGGTCCGAGGAACAGGAAGAAGGAAGTTACAGGAAGCCTAGCTATGGTGATGATGAGGAAGGGAGCTATGGCCGCAAGAAATATGTAAGCTCACGAAATAAACATTTCGTTATACTGATATTTCCCATAATTTGCATCTAGATTGTGTGAACGATAAGCGTGAATAGTCAGTTTGCATCTAGATTGTGTGGATGATAAGCGTGATTGGTTAAAACCCTTTTTTCGTAGTATAGAGTGATCTCCATATTGAAGTAAAGTTTATACCTTTAGGCTTTAGTTCATGTTCATTCATGATCCATTAATAAGAATCTTGTTTCACATTCTGAAATGGATTTGCCTGAGTTTCCTTGAATCAGAAGCTAGTTTTAGGATCCCATTTGGCTTCCCAGGTTTGGTATCTGATTAATTTTGGACATCATGAGGATACTTGAACATCTTAATTACATAGTTCATACTTCATAGTGGTGGCATCATTAACTCCATGTCATTGTGTAGAACATTACAAAGGATAGGTTTTCTCTTAATCCTAATTATCAATGTACAAAATTTGCAGGGTGGCAATGACTCTGATGAGGATGAGGAGAAGAAGCAGTATCGTTACAAGCATCACCACCAGAGGCGTCGTGATGAAGACGATGACTAAACACTCTCTCAGTGCTGTATGAGAAAGTGCTTATTGCTTAGCTTCTAATTTCTTACTACTAAATAAAAAGCTAAGTCTTTATATCTTTCAAGATTGGTGTTGTTTGTTTGAATTTTCTTTAGATACAGCAAAGTCTGTGTCACACTATATGTCTGAGTTTGTTGGTGGTTCATAATAAAGACCTTGAATTTGTATCGGGTCACCATGTATCTGTTGCTACTCTGTTTTCGATTTTGTGTTATGATACTTTTACCTCTTTTTATACATATAAGTTATATAAGTTACCTCTTTCTTCAATATCATTACTGAAAGAAGAAGCCATAACAAGTGATACAATCGTCGATGAATCTCCTTTCCTTCTTCGCTGGAGGACTGACGGGAACCTTAGGTACGAGGTTGCGATGAACAGCATCATGTTGCTATTGTTTTGCTCTCATGAATCTACGATTTTCCTTCTTTTTTTTTTTGTAAGGTGTGAATTTGAGATTTTTTTTTTTATTTGTATTCGAAATTGTTTGATATTTTAATCACGCACTTTCTTTCTTCAATAGTTCTATCCATCGTAACAAAGAAACGTTTGTTTTGTGGGTAGTAGTTGTGCATACGTGTGTGTTTTTTTTTTTTTTTTTGGGTTTTCAGAGACTACTTGCTAAGCAAAGCCTAGGGTTTCACGAGAGTTTAGGCTTGTTCTCCTTGTCTCCTTACTAATACTAGGTGTTTAGTCCGCGAGTTGCACGAACCGAAAAGTTTCATTGAAACCTAAAATAAAATTGTCACAAAATCAAAAATAATTTAGATCAAAAATTTGATACATACAAAATTAAAATAAAGCTAACCTATAAAAGTAATCATTGTCTAACATTAAAAACTTTAAAATCAATACTAATAAATGTATGAAATCAATAAACACAAATTAAAATAAAATTAATATGAATTATTTATCTTTTTTTCTTTTTATCTTTTAATTTTTTTTCTCTATCATCTTTTA